AGTGCCTGACCTCACTAATGCTGTTGTGGCTGAATGGTAGCAAGTCCCCGCAGCAATGTTCCAACATCTAGTGGAAAGCCTTCCCAGCAGAGTGGAGGCTGTTATAGCAGCAAAGGGGGGACCAACTCCATTTTAATGCCCATGATTTTGGAATGAGATGTTTGACGAGCAAGTGTTCACATACTTTTGGTCATGTAGTGTATTTGAAGCATGGAGCTCCTGTATTGTATGACTGAGGTGGTAGATAAGTGTTACTTTTTTAACGATGATAATATGGTGCCGTTATCTGTACAGATCTTTAAAATGATCAAACCTTAGTCTTAGCCCTAGAGGCATTCTGTGTTGTTGATGGTGTTTTGTTTAGGAAAGAAGCATTTTATTATTTAGTAGACTGCAAGGAGCTGCCTGTTGTTTATGACTGAGATTCTGGAGTCTGAGTGAGCGATGCTTTGGCACTGAATAGTATCACTACTGTTTGCTCTCTTTGTAACGTAAGGGAATAAGGGCTGATTTGGAACAAAGCTTGCATGCAATTCAGGATAATACCACAAAGTAGAATGATAGGCTACCTCTGATTTCTTTAGACTGAGATGAGCAACCTCCTGCTTTGGCCAATGCTGGCAGGCTTTAAAGGTTCTTGTTGAGATGTTAGATATACACTATACAGTGCTATGAAAAACTATTTGCCCCCTTTCTAATTTTCTCTACTTTTGCATATTTGTGATACTGAATGTTATCAGATCTTCAACCAAAACCTAATATTAGATAAAGGGAACATAAGTGAACAAATAACACAACAATTACATATTTATTTCATTTATTTCATAAACAAAGTTATGCAACACCTAATTCCCCTGTGTGAAAAAGTAATTGCCCCCTTACACTCAATAACTGGTTGTGCCACCTTTAGCTGCAATGACTCCAACCAAATGCTTCCTGTAGTTGTTGATCAGTCTCTCACGTCGCTGTGGAGGAATTTTGGCCCACTCTTCCATGCAGAACTGCTTTACCTCAGTGACGTGTGGGTTTTCAAGCATGAACTGCTTGTTTCAAGTCCTGCCACAACATCTCAATTGGGATTAGGTCTGGACTTTGACTAGGCCATTCCAAAACTTCCAATTTGTTGCTTTTTAGCCATTTTCATGTAGACTTGATTGTGTGTTTTGGATCATTGTCTTGCTGCATGACCCAGCTGCGCTTCAGCTTCAGCTCACAGACGGATGGTCTGACATTCTCCTGTAGAATTCTCTGATACAGAGCAGAATTCATGGTTCCTTCTATTAAGGCAAGTCGTCCAGGTCCTGAGGCAGCAAAGCATCCCCAAACCATCACACCACCACCACCATGCTTGACCTTTGGTATGATGTTCTTACTGTTGAATGCAGAGTTTGGTTTTCACCAGGCATTACTGGAACCATGTCGTCCTGTTAATCTGTTTTTCCAAAATGATTAATCAGGACCCACTTGTGGGCCATGTTCCTGACTAAAAATATTGTTTTTGTTTATTTGGTGAGTTACAAGAAAATCCCAAAGGCTCGGCTCACAACACAAACAAGTTTGGGAGCCACTGTGTGGAAAACGCTGTCAATTGAAATAAACTGTTGGGTGCCCGCTGTCTTCAGTGAATTTGTGCAACTGTGCATAAACAAAGGATGTTTTGTCTTACTTTCAGGGCAAGGTCATTGCTGTTACTTTTGGTTCATTCTTTTTTTGTGTGTTGGTTACCTTTGACATTTGAGACATTAAATACACACATGGTTTAGGTTTCTCTCCATCTGTTCTTCTCCATACATTATTTATGCTGTTTCGCTCTCACTCCTCTTCTAAGACATTATTGTCAGCTCTAAGAGATACATTTTACCTACACTGAACAAAAATATAAACGCAACATGTAAAATGTTGGCCCCATGTTTCATGAACTGAAATAAAAGATCCCAGAAAATGTCCATATTCACAAAAAGCTTATTTCTCTCAAATGTTGTGCACAAATTTGTTTACATCCCTGTTAGTGAGCATTTCTCCTTTGCCAAGACAATACATCCACCTGACAGGTGTGGCATATCAAGAAGCTGATTAAACAGCATGATCATTACACAGGTGCACCTTGTGCTGGGGGCAATGAAAGGCCCCTCTAAAATGTGCAGTTTTGTCACACAACACAATGCCACAGATGTCTCAAGTTTTGAGGGAGTGTGCAATTGGCATGCTGACTGCAGGAATGTCCACCAGAGCTGTTGCTAGATAAATTAATGTTAATTTCTCTACCATAAGCCACCTCTAACGTTGTTTCAGAGAATTTGGCAGTATGTCCAACCGGCCTCACAGCCGCAGACCTCAAGCCAGCCCAGGACCACCACCTCTGATTTCTTCACCTGCTGGATCGTCTGAGAACAGCCACCCGGACAGCTGATAAAAGTGTGGGCTTGCACAACCAAATAATTTTTGCACAAACTGTCAGAATCCGTCTCAGGGAAGCTCATCTGCGTGCTCATCGTCCTCACCAGGGTCTTGACCTGACAATATCACCCATGTTTGGGATGCTCTGGATCGACGTGTACGACAGCGTGTTCCAGTTCCCCCCAATATCCAGAAACTTTGTACAGCCATTGAAGAGGAGTGGGACAACATTCCACAGGCAGCAATCAACAGTGATCAACTGTATGCGAAGGAGATGTATCGCGCTGCATGAGGCAAATGGTGGTCACACCAGATACTGACTGGTTTTCTGATCCACGCCCCTACTTTTTGTTTTAAGGTACAGTGAGGGAAAAAAGTATTTGATCCCCTGCTGATTTTGTACGTTTGTCCACTGAAAAAGAAATGATCAGTCTATAATTTTAATGTTAGGTAACAACAAAAAAACAACAACAAAAAAATCCAGAAAAACGCATGTCAAAAATGTTATCAATTGATTTGCATTTTAATGAGGGAAATAAGTATTTGACCCCTCTGCAAAACATGACTTAGTACTTGGTGGCAAAACCCTTGTTGGCAATCACAGAGGTCAGACGTTTCTTGTAGTTGGCCACCAGGTTTGCGCACATCTCAGGAGGGATTTTGTCCCACTCCTCTTTGCAGATCTTCTCCAAGTCATTAAGGTTTCGAGGCTGATGTTTGGCAACTCGAACCTTCAGCTCCCTCCGCAGATATGTTTGGGATGCTCTGGGGCGGCAGGTAGCTTAGTGGTTAAGAGCGTTGTGCCAGTAACCGAAAGGTCGCTGGTTCTAATCCCCAAGCTGACTAGGTGAAAAATCTGTCGATGTGCCCTTAACCCTAATTGCTCCTGTAAGTCGCTCTGGATAAGAGCGTCTGCTAAATGACCAGTTAATTAATTAATAAAATATTCTATGGGATTAAGGTCTAGAGACTGGCTAGGCCACTCCAGGACCTTAATGTGCCACTCCTTTGTTGCCTTGGCCGTGTGTTTTGGGTCATTGTCATGCTGGAATACCCATCCACGACCCATTTTCAATGCCCTGGCTGAGGGAAGGAGGTTCTCACCCATGATTTGACGGTACATGGCGCCGTCCATCGACCCTTTGATGTGGTGAAGTTGTCCTGTCCCCTTAGCAGAAAAACACCCCCAAAGCATAATGTTTCCACCTCCATGTTTAACGGTGGGGATGGTGTTCTTGGGGTCATAGGCAGCATTCCTCCTCCTCCAAACACAGCGATTTTAGTTGATGGCAAAGAGCTCCATTTTGGTCTCATCTGACCACAACACTTTCACCCAGTTCTCCTCTGAATCATTCAGATGTTCATTGGCAAACTTCAGATGGGCATGTATATTTGCTTTCTTGAGCAGGGGGACCTTGTGGGCGCTGCAGGATTTCAGTCCTTCACGGCATAGTGTGTTACCAATTGTTTTCTTGGTGACTTTGGTCCCAGCTGCCTTGAGATCATTGACAAGATCCTCCCGTGTAGTTCTGGGCTGATTCCTCACCGTTCTCATGATCATTGCAACTCCACGAGGTGAGATCTTGCATGGAGCCCCAGGCCGAGGGAGATTGACAGTTATTTTGTGTTTCTTCCATTTGCGAATAATCGCACCTACTGTTGTCACCTTCTCACCAAGCTGCTTGGCGATGGTCCTGTAGCCATTCCAGCCTTGTGTAGGTCTACAATCTTGTCCCTGACATCCTTGGAGAGCTCTTTGGTCTTGGCCATGGTGGAGAGTTTGGAATCTGATTGATTGATTGCTTCTGTGGACAGGTGTCTTTTATACAGGTAACAAACTGAGATTAGGAGCACTCCCTTTAAGAGTGTGCTCCTAATCTCAGCTCGTTACCTGTATAAAAGACACCTGGGAGCCAGAAATCTTTCTGATTGAAAGGGGGTCAAATACTTATTTCCCTCATTAAAATGCAAATCAATTTATAACATATTTGACATGCGTTTTTCTGGATTTCTTTGTTGTTATTCTGTCTCTCACTGTTCAAATAAACCTACCATTAAAATTATAGACTGATAATTTCTTTGTCAGTGGGCAAACGTACAAAATCAGCAGGGGATCAAATACTTTTTTCCCTCACTGTATCTGTGACCAACAGATGCATATCTGTATTCCCAGTCATGTGAAATCCATAGATTAGGGCCTAATTTATTTATTTCAATTGACTAATTTTCTTATATGAACTGTATCTCAGTACAATCTTTGAAATTGTTGCATGTTGAATTTATATTTTTGTTCAGTATAGATAGACAGGCAGGCAGACAGGGAGATCGGCTCCACCTCGTCCCTACGACTGCAGCACAGCCGTGCTTAAGCAATCCTTTGAATGAACCTGTTAACGTGAAGCCATCCAAATTGCATCAAGCATACTTTTTCTATAATGCACATATGATTGACATAGACAGGCTAGGTCTGATAGTCTGTCACATTCTGTATTAACTGTAGGCCTATTCGTGTTTAGTCACATTACTGAAAATGTAAATGCTCTGTCTCTTTCCGTTACAGGATTTAACATTAGACACCTGATCACTTTACTGTTGGGACGGATGTGTAAGATGCACATTTCTTACTGGCTTAACAAAAATAGATGGCTAACCAAACAACTGGAGAACATATGCTTGAAATTGCAAGGTATTTTAATGTATGTAAGCCAACCTGTGCTCTGTGCCAAGTTATTTGTTAGGTAACGACAGTGCTCTCTCTGTAGGTGAGGTTTTGATTGGCTGAGGTTTGAGAAGCAAGACCTCACGAATCAGACCACATGGAGGTCAAAGGGCGCCTCATCACATCCATGGGTGTGGGGGCTCCAGGTGAGTTTTACACCTCCACAAAGAGATTTTGGGGTATTTAGTAATCTCGCATGAACAGACGCATGTAAGATAGGATGGTATCATAGCGTCTGTCAACAAACAGACTGTGGGATGTGACGACTAACAAGGAAATTTGTTCCGTTGTACAGATTTTTTCATCACTGATTTGGACAATTCCCGATTTCGCAGGTGTTTGCATCTTTCGAATTTCGGAAGGGGATAGGACATTTGGCCCATAGACTTGCCCGAAACTTGCAGAGAAAGGGGGGTGGAGCTACCACCCTGCTTCCGCTCCTCGTTGTAGTATATTTTCTAACTATCAGACATGTTTTTGAGTTATGTACCCAGTAGGTCCCTCAGGTCCTCTGGCACTGGCCTTTTAACTATCCCAAAGCCTAGGACCAAGAGGCATGGAGAGGCAGCTTTTAGTTACTATGCACCCAGCATCCGGAAAAGCCTGCCAGAGAACCTGAGGGGGGCTGAAACTGTGGACATATTTAAAAGAGATCTTAAAACACCTTTTTGGCTTTGCTTTTTTAGTATTTCAGTTTTTATTGTTATTATTTTGTTTTTCTATCCTCTTATGTTTGTTGTTCAGTAATTATTTCTGTTTTTATTTTCGTTGTTGTTGTTTTGGGGGGGGGGGGGGGGGGGGTTGAAATGTGCTGTATAAATAAAGCTTGATTTGAACACATCTGCCCCCAGAACTTAATTGAGCATCTGGCACAAGTACGCAATATTTTAGTTCTGGGTTTCTGATATTAGGTACTTAGTAACACCATTGCTATTACATAGTAATTGTATACTTGTTGTCTTAACTGAATATGTTGATGTGTTTGTTGGTGTATAGATCAGGACAGCAAGCTGCAAGCTGAGCGCATCTCCGCACTGCAGGAGAGAAAGCAACTCCTGGAGGATATCCTCAGCAGCCGAGTGGGAGAGCTGAGACAAGTGTGTCTGCTGGAGGCGGTCAGTTCCTCTCTCCTACCTCTTACCTATTGTAGGGCTCAGGTCAGTTCCTCTCTCCTACCTCTTACCTATTGTAGGGCTCAGGTCAGTTCCTCTCTCCTACCTTTTAACTATTGTAGGGCTCAGGTCAGTTCCTCTCTCCTACCTTTTAACTATTGTAGGGCTCAGGTCAGCTCCTCTCTCCTATCTCTTACCTATTGTAGTGCTCAGGTCAGTTCCTCTCTCCTATCTCTTACCTATTGTAGGGCTCAGGTCAGTTCCACTCTCCTACCTTTTAACCATTCTAAGGCTCAGGTCAGTTCCTCTCTCCTACCTTTTAACTATTCTAAGGCTCAGGTCAGTTCCTCTCTCCTACCTTTTAACTATTGTAGGGCTCAAGGCATGTTAGAGAGAATGGCTCCATACACCCAAGCCATGCTATAGAGATGCGTGCTTTATGAGATTATTGGAACGCAAAAACCAACGTTAGGTTTGTTTTCTGTATCTGACTCAATACAGAGCAGCTCTAACCCGCTGTAAACCTCAACCACCTGAAATAATAAATCAGGCTCAATGAGTTTGGCTGCACAGATGAAAGAACAATATTTTGCAACTTGACATTACAAAGCAAAGTTTAAAGAGCAACTGCCCCTAAAAACCAACTTCTCGTTTAGAAAACAGCCTAAGTGGCATGGATATGAGTCAGAAACATTTATTCTACTGTAATAATTTACTACAAAGTGTAAATAGGATAATTTTGGTCATAAAGTCAGTCTCATCCAAAACAGAGTTTTGTGAGACTTGTGGTCGTAATTGCATCACAATGTCCACATGGCAGCACACAAGTAATCAGCATTTCGGAGTGCAGCTGTACTTGACCCAATTGTAATGCTGTGGTAAATATGGGTTGACTTTGGAAATCCCTATAGGACTAGTTAGGGACCATCTGCAAAATTCCAATAGCTCCAAATTTCAATGACTTAAAAACCTCAAACCAACTATTAATTGTAGAAATTCATATACAAATATTGAAAGCATTTATGAGAACTAAAAGGTGTGCAACAAAATATTGTCTCATTTACAATGTGTAATTTATTGACAGACCCTAATTAGCCCCGGAGATAGGCTATCCAAAGTCAAACCAACTTTGCCACAGTCGCACACCAGCCAACTAAAGCTAATTGGCTAAATCATTTGGCTAACTCTTGTGAACACACACAAGAGACACCCACATCAAACCACACCCCTAAACCAACTCGCGTTCTAATTCAGTCATGGCCACTAGCATTTTCTAATAAACCAAATCTAAAACGAGGTAAAATCAGGAAGTGCAGTCACCTTTTAAAGTTTCCCCTTGCAGAGCAGCGTCAGTTAAGAATATGTAGCGAAAGTGTATGAATATTAGCCTGATTTCTCCTGAGACAGAGACAGATATACTGTACCAGGCACCAGATCCAGCTTTTCACTCACAGCTGTTTCACACATTCCCCCTGATTTTGGTTTAGAATTCAACACAGATGTGTCTCAGCTTCTCTCTAGACTAAGATTATTCATGCATGGAAATGCTCTCTATATACTGTTTAGTGCATTAGATTTGGTGATTTGATGCACTACCATTCAAATGATACTATTCTTGACCAACATAGTTTAATTTACATTTACATTTACGTCATTTAGCAGACGCTCTTATCCAGAGTGACTTACAAATTGGTGCATTTACCTTATAGCCAGTGGGATAACCACTTTACAATATGTTTTTTTTTGTTTTTTGGGTGGGGTAAGGGGGGGGGGGGGGGGGGGGGGGGGGGGGGGTAGAAGGATTACTTTATCCTATCCCAGGTATTCCTTAAAGAGGTGGGGTTTCAAGTGTCTCCGGAAGGTGGTGAGTGACTCCACTGTCCTGGCGTCGTGAGGGAGCTTGTTCCACCATTGGGGTGCCAGAGCAGCGAACAGTTTTGACTGGGCTGAGCGGGAACTGTGCTTCCGCAGAGGTAGGGGGGCCAGCAGGCCAGAGGTGGATGAACGCAATGCCCTCGTTTGGGTGTAGGGACTGATCAGAGCCTGAAGGTACGGAGGTGCCGTTCTCCTCACAGCTCCGTAGGCAAGCACCATGGTCTTGTAGCAGATGCGAGCTTCAACTGGAAGCCAGTGGAGTGTGCGGAGGAGCGGGGTGACGTGAGAGAACTTAAGAAGGTTGCAGCATTCTGGATGAGTTGTAGGGGTTTAATGGCACAGGCAGGGAGCCCAGCCAACAGCGAGTTGCAGTAATCCAGACGGGAGATGACAAGTGCCTGGATTAGGAGCTGTGCCGCTTCCTGTAGAAGGCAGGGTCGTACTCTCCGAATGTTGTAGAGCATGAACCTACAGGATCGGGTCACCGCCTTGATGTTAGCGGAGAACGACAGGGTGTTGTCCAGGGTCACGCCAAGGCTCTTCGCACTCTGGGAGGAGGACACAACGGAGTTGTCAACCGTGATAGCGAGATCATGGAACGGGCAGTCCTTCCCCGGGAGGAAGAGCAGCTCCGTCTTGCCGAGGTTCAGCTTGAGGTGGTGATCCGTCATCCACACTGATATGTCTGCCAGACATGCAGAGATGCGATTCGCCACATGGTTATCAGAAGGGGGAAAGGAGAAGATTAGTTGTGTGTCGTCTGCGTAGCAATGATAGGAGAGGCCATGTGAGGATATGACAGAGCCAAGTGACTTGGTGTATAGCGAGAATAGGAGAGGGCCTAGAACTGAGCCCTGGGGGACACCAGTGGTGAGAGCACGTGGTGCGGAGACAGATTCTCGCCACGCCACTTGGTAGGAGTGACCGGTCAGGTAGGACGCAATCCAAGAGTGAGCCGCGCCGGAGATGCCCAACTCGGAGAGGGTGGAGAGCAGGATCTGATGGTTCACAGTATCAAAGGCAGCAGACAGGTCTAGAAGGACAAGAGCAGAGGAGAGAGAGTTAGCTTTAGCAGTGCGGAGAGCCTCCGTGACAAAGAGAAGAGCAGTCTCAGTTGAATGACCAGTCTTGAAACCTGGTTTGGATCAAGAAGGTAATTCTGAGAGAGATAGCAAGAGAGTTGGCTAAAGACGGCACGCTCAAGAGTTTTGGAGAGAAAAGAAAGAAGGGATACTGGTCTGTAGTTGTTGACATCAGAGGGATCGAGTGTTGTTTTTTTGAGAAGGGGTGCAACTCTCGCTCTCTTGAAGACGGAAGGGACATAGCCAGCGGTCAAGGATGAGTTGATGAGCGAGGTGAGGTAAGGGAGAAGTTCACCGGAGAAGAGAGGAGGGGATAGGGTCAAGCGGGCAGGTTGTTGGGCGGCCGGCCGTCACAAGTCGCAAGATTTCATCTGGAGAGAGAGGGGAGAAAGAAGTCAAAGCATAGGGTAGGGCAGTGTGAGCAGGAACAGCAGTGTCATTTGACTTAACAAACGAGGATCGCATGTCGTCAACCTTCTTTTCAAAATGGTTGACGAAGTCATCCACAGAGAGGGAGGGGGGGAGGGGGAGGAGGATTCAGCAGGGAGGAGAAGGTGGCAAAGAGCTTCCTAGGGTTAGAGGCAGATGCTTGGAATTTAGAGTGGACTGTACCAGGCACCTGTACCAGGCATCTTCATATTATCACAGTAGCATTAGTTCTAGCTAATTTTAAGATACACAGGCTGGAGACTGTAACAGTGTATGATATAAATGTTTATTACATTTGTTCCTATTGCTCTATTATATAACCATATTTTATAACAGACATTATGAAATTTGACTTGGCAGTGGACATATGAAAACAGTGGTAAAAAAGGATGAAAATGTATGCACTCACTACTGTAAGTCGCTCTGGATAAGAGTGTCTGCTAAATGATTGCTTTTTACAAATGGTAGCTTTTTAATCAAACTATGCTAATTCTGTTGCATGAATGTTGTCTGCAGGAGCTGACCGGGATGGTCCCACATGCTTTTCCCCTGGAGACAGGAGAGAGAGCTCCCGTTGTACAGCGCAGGGCTGGCCTGGCACATAACACCAAGGGAGAGGTCAGAGAACATTCAGATACTATGACATTGGTCACAGAGGACCTGTATGTCTGTTAATACTGGTTATCATCACATCACTGACTAAGTTATTGCTTTGTGCAGGATGAGACAGGTCAGCGAAGGCAGATGAAAACACTCTTCAGTGGTGCTCTGTACAGACACTCAGAGTCAGACAGGAATGTCCCCAACAGCAGGAGGACCGTTCACCGGGGATGCCACACAGGTAAGGTAGTGCTGCGTACAGCAAGAGTTCAAAGACGTATTAACAGCTATACATAAAGATCTTGCACAATGTTTCCATGATATCCATAGAGAAAAGGCTGAACAACCTCTCACCACACATATAATTTCACTTTGATATGAGGCAGTTTCCTCTCCGATGCTGTGATGGCCTGTGTATTTGGTCTCCACTTCCTGCCTATGTTGTACTGTGTAAAAAACACATTTCACTGCACCTATCCAGTGCATGTGACAATAAAACGTCTTTATTTATTATTTATTACTGAGGTTGTTGTTGCCTGTGATGACAGATTGTGTTTGTTTATCTTCCAGAGGACACGGTGATGTCGGAGAGTACTAGCTCCATGTCAGATTCAACATCCCATGACAATGGTGAGTCAGCCAGACCTGCAAATACAATAATAACAACTGAATCTGTAAAAGCTGGTCTGTAAAATCATTGATCTTTGTCTGTTCCACAAATACAACAGTCTTGCAAAATATTCTCAAAATGTCTAGGCGGAGTTAGTATCATTACATTATTCTGTGAGGCTACAGAAAAGAGAGATTGTATGATTGGTACTGTTCACATTCACAGTTTATAATTCAATTACTGGATGACAGATCAGATTTCAGTCCCGATCGTGAAAATGAGAGGGACGAAGAATCACATTTCTCCTCCTTAAATTCTGAATTACACGGCTGCTGCCTGAGTATGTTCATGAAAGAGAATAACCTGTTAGAGTGACTCAAGTTAAGACCAAACCCCATCTTCTCCCTGCCTCAGAGGAGTCCTCTCCCAGTGTGGCAGAAGACCACCGCTCCATGTCCCAGCCCCGTCTGGGCAGTCCAGAACACCAGGTCTGTAGGAAACTGTCCCCAGTGGAGATATACTATGAAATGAGAACACGCCGTAACTCTGTGACCAGCTCTATCAGGTAATGTCAGTGTGTGTGTGTGTACGTGTAACGCACTCCTTCTTCTTGTGTCTAATGCTATGTTCTGATGTTTTTCCCTAGCCCTAGTCATTCTCTACCAAGGAGTGCATCTAATGTTGAAGGCAGAAGTGTTCCTGCAACCCCCCTCCTCGCCCGAACCGCCCCAATCAGTGTTCATGTCAGGTAATATTCCTCCTCTGGTCCAGTGCTTCTGCTTAATGCAGCACATCCACTGCTACCCACCCACTATGATGACAGAGAGGCTGACCGAATGACCGATGAGTGCAGCAGGTAATTAGGCTACAGAACATGCCAGTGATGGAAAACGTTATCTCAAAATTTTATTATCAAGGCAAGATGATTTATTTTGTGAGAAGTCAGATGCTTAGTGTCATATTGACTTATATCATGTTATTTTTTAAAATGTCTTTATGTATTAGGTTTGATATCACAAATTCAATCAATTGAAAATGAAATGTAAAGATAGTGTGTTTACATTATGACAATAACCTATCATAATAAGCTCATCAAATGCTCATTGCTCTCTATCGCTCCTTCAGATCGGATGGCTCTGGTGGGATTTCACTAAAGCAGTGGTCTGGCAGCCTGGATGTACCACATATGGAGCCCCTGGCCCAGGAAGGTTCCTCCTCGGAGCGCAGAGGCTGCCCTTACAGCTCCCGTGCCCGGCGGAGCAACAGTTCTGAGGCCCTGCTTGACCGCTCCAGTCTCCCCGAGGACTCAGCCCCCAGAAACGGGATGCCCCCCAGAGGAGGGCCCTACAAAAGCTCTGAGGCCCTCACTGACGGCAAGCTGAGGCACATCCACCTGGGCAGTCCTGAGAGACAGGAGCAGGGCAACCTGCGGCTGTCCATGGGTGGGAGAGGAGAAGCAGCAGGAGGAGGGGGTTACAATGAGCTCCTAATGGATTACATCTGGGGGAAGCAACAGAGGATGCAAGTGCAACACCAGCTGTACCAATCAACAGGTAGAATCTGGCAGGACATTTCCTCTCCTCGATCGTCCACTGCTGCAGTGCCTCCTCACGCCAACGGCTTCTCCCACTCCCAGGTGCATCTTCCCAGCGCTGCCCCTCCCTACAGTCCCATGGTGATCCGTAGCTCCCAGGCTGAGCCTCGCAGAGTCAAAGTCACCCGGACCAAGTCCTGCGGACCCTTCATCCCCCTGCAGCAGGACGCCATCCTGCTCTCTGCCTATGAGTCTCCCCACCCTGCCCCAAGCTCCACTACCTCCTCCATTCCCAACCTGCACCCCTTCCAGACTGAGCTGTCCGGCCCGTCATTCAATCGCAGGCCTCCCCAGTTCTCTCTCCCCACCCCTGAGGACTCGACAAGGAGTCTGCATAAAGCCTTGGCACTGGAGGGTCTCAGAGACTGGTACCTGAGGAGCGCCCTCGGCTACCCTACCACCACGTCAAAGGGGCATGATGCAGGGGTCTCCCACCTCTCACACCCCCACCCTTTGGTGCACCAGGCTCAGTCTATACAAGGTGATCCACTCCATAGGTCCCAGATGTCTCAGTCAGCCAGCTTCCATGGCCACCCACTGCATGGAAGGTGAGTATTTCTCTGCTTAGGAATGATTGTTGGTAACATTCACACAGGTGCACATTACGGTACTTTTGATCATGTTTGTTTGCTGAGTACTATAATGATTTGTGCCCTCTCTATGGCAGGTCAATGGAGTTCTCACTCTATCAAGAGCCCATTCATCCTCAGAAGCAAGACATGACTCCCAGTGCTGACCCTGGCACTTTGGTCTAATGTAGCTGAATATATATTCAAACACACATGTGCACAGGCGCACACACGCGCACACACAGACAGACACAGACAGACAGACACACACACACACACACACAGACACACACACAGATCCAAACACTGTAAAAAGGAGCTGATATAAGGTGACCTCACAAGCTAAAAAAAAAACATTACAACCCCAGCAGAAAAAGACTGTAAGGCCATGCTGAATGCCCTCTGTTGAAAATGAGCCCACCCACTTTTGACCCCTAGATCGCAAAGCGAGGAATGGATTTGCACTGGATCTGTCCCCGGAGTCTCAGAATATATTGTTATTCTGTAGCTACTGTATACTGTATTGTATTTTATCGTTGGTCAGACCCAAGCCACATTTAACAAACATCCTCCTTGTTTAACCTAACAAATCTCCCAATATATAATTTTTTACAGAATAAAGTATATGTATTCTAAATTACTATTTTGTATCTTCTGAGATATAAATAATAGTTATATAAAATAGGTAATTTCGTGTCTTGTGATTTACAAAAATATGTAATGAACTCATATCAACTAAAAAGTATTTAGACACACCAGTGAATGTGTAAATTAACCTGTTTGTAAACATGAATATATATGTCTTATCTCTTCATCTGTCCATCAAACATACACATTTCAACTGTGCTTGCTATTTCTCATGTTTGTTAAATGAACACAAATCCTTTCAAAGCTTGGTCTTCAATCAACAAATGAAAGCAATTCCTGATGTTGCCAAATTGTGTTGTTTCATGCAAGCTAATTATTCTGCATTTCCTAAGAGTCCAGCTGCTGAAAGGACATAATAGTCAAGTTCAGATAAAACCCTGAGGACTTTTAGAGGTCTATGACAGTCGTTTAATGAACTTTCTATTAATTTCTATTCATTCAGTTGCGTAGCACGTTTTCCGTCAGAGCACTTTATGAACATCAAAAGCCTTATCCAATTGCAGCAGTGGGATGGGGAAATTGTCCCCAAGAGAGAACACACTAAAACCAGAAAATGGTTGACAGGGTATGAAGTTTGAGCAAATAAGAAAAGTGTTACCAGGTTGAAGTTCATGTTCAAGTCTACGTCAAGGTGGAATGTTTGTGGCCCATTTGGACATTCAAGATCAAAGTGATGTAGTGTATAATATTATGTATATATCAGATTGTAACAACATTATCAACAATAAACCACATATTTGGATATGTATGTATCATGATAATAAGCTAGATTTGATGCTAAATTCCTATATAAACTGATGTCAACTTAATGTGGAGAAATGAAACGGGGTCTAACTAGAACAGGGCTAGGGGATGGGACTGTTGGCATGAGCAGGCCTTATGTCAGAACTCATAAGTGTGCTAGTATGAGATTCCGTTTCCATTGTATCATGTCATACGCTACTCCTATTGGATCATGTCATACGCTACTCCTATTGGTGGCACAATGTTATCATAATGGTAAAAAAATATTTAAAGTAATTCATGCCATGCCCAAATACCACCGCAGTTCAAGAACGACACATTTATAAGCTTCCCATGACATGTGCTTGTCTGTTCTTGTGTATCTTAGGTTCATGATTATACCATTATAAAAGGGCATCACTAACAACATGAATGGTAGGAAATGAATACCTCTGGAAAGAAATGTATGAGTAGCTAATAATGATCTTTCATTTTAACTGAGGAAAACAGACTCGTTAATGTCATGGCTTCATCTATTGACATGTTTTACAGGTGAAGATATTCCTTTTATCTCAAGTACCTTTAGTGGAATGTTATATTGGTTTTAAATGTTGGTGTTTTCACATTCAATAGTTAGTGTGTGAATTTCTTCAAGCTAGTCTAAACCTGAAACTGATGACCAAACTGCTGTGCATTGGGGGGTTGTAAATGTATTTTTCAGGTGATGTACTTATGTCTGTAAAACATAAATTAATATACATTTAGCTTGAAGGAAATTTATCCAGAATATATATTGTATATTTATGAACTTATAACATTTTTTATCTATTTGTGAAATACACTTCTGTCATAAAACCCATTCAGCACCAGCCAGAGAAGTGTGGTGTTAACTAACATTTAAAGTGTATTAGTTGTAGCTTTTCAGAGAATGAGTTATGTTGATTGACTGGAATTGGTTGTGACATATTGACTGAAATCCCCTTCAGTTTTTCTCCTGATTTTTTTTCATCCTATTACACTATGACCATATTTCAAAGGGGTGAGAAATACAGTTTCTGTTTGAGGCGGATGGGGTACATTCATTGATATTTTTTAAATAAAGTGTCATCATGGTAAATTCAACATCTTGAATTGGAATCATTAAAAAAAAACTATATTGATTTTCGTTTATTTACAATGTAATTACTGTGAGTGATTTGCCTCAATAAAATAAAATATGTATATCATAGGACATTTCATCAGTTCATCCTTATTAGCCTAATTCTAATGGCTTTGGCTTTGCTAGAAGAATTTGGCACAATTTGACATATTACTTATTTAAAACATTTTTAAATAGCTAACTAGTGTAGCTTATGGTGCTGCCAGCCACACAGCATGTACTGTCCAGTCAGCCACTGGCACAGCTCAGCTCATGTCATTTTCAGAAGGTGTGCTTTGCTTATGGGCAGACACGCACGCGGAGCAAACTAGCGATGGGCATTCCGAGTCTTTTCGGTGAGCCGGCTGGCTCATTTGCTCCGTTCACGTAAAAAAGCCGGCCTATTTGGCTCCCAAACGGCTCATTGTTCAAAATGTTTAAAAATCGAACTAGAACCATGAAAAAGGGCAAATCTTCAATGTAACGCCCAAAAGGTAGGCAACCATTATGTCAGATCGTGAAATGCGCGTTCAAATATATTTTTACCTGGCCAAATTATTACTTTTTGCATGGACCAGATTGATGCGCTCTCCCCACTATTTATTGTTTCTGCAGTGAGGATTCACCTTCTTTAGGTAATTATTTTGTAACTTATCTGCAGAAAAACGTTATTTTGAGCTAATAAAAGTAGTAGCAGTAGTATGCAAATCAGGGAGCCAAATGAATGAATCTTTCACTGATGCGATTCGGTTCCCGACGTTAACCAAAAAGATCCTTTCAAAAAGAGCCGTTCGTTCGCGAACCATCACTAGAGCAAATGTTGACGAGGAAGGAACGGTCCCTCAGTTTACTGGTGAAATCGGAGGACTCCGGTTTTCATTATTATATTTAAGTATTTGGGTAAATATTACATTGTTTTTTCACAGTTACAGGGTGTAAAAAAAGTTTATAACCAATTGTTACTTGATTATGTCACATTGTAACAGCTGCACGAACTTGAAGTCGGTTGCTTAGCTATAATCTTCAAAGCAATGACAAGCTGCAACAAATAACGTTAGCTAAACAACTTTTGTGGAGAACAGACTCAGGGTAATTTCCGCGTTGCATTAGCTAGCTAGTTAGTTATAAAAATCTGTTATAAAAATGTAAAACATATCTGTTACAAAACATGTTATTTTTCTTTAGAGGACATAGCTAGGTTTGTTGGACTTGGCAGTTCTGAATTGGTCAAAGGATTGACTTTTTTTCTTACCAACTCTTTGACACCTTAATGACTTGACTGAGAGAATGACTTGACTGAGACGATCGTATCTATAGCTGTAATTGTCACAGGTTTAAATGAAATACTCTCCTAGACAGCATGCACTCAGTCAATAAAGTTACAGGCCAGCTTTGAAGAGCTATTTACGTTGACATGCCATTCATCTAAACCCAGCTAAAAATAAATGGACTCTTGCGTATTCACTGGACCCTTTCAAATGTCATTGCAGATAGGCTCTAGAACTATAAGATTTACTCAATTTGAATAGGCTTACTCAGTGTGTACATATATTGGCCATGTGTGTCTTCTGATTTAACCTCATAGATCCTACATATGAATGCCTATGAGGTCAACTTATAATAGTGTGAACTGTGAAAGATAGTGAACAGTTTGTCTTTTTTTTTTTTTTTTTTGTCGTAGGCCTTCTGCTTGTACCAACTTCATCTCCATTTTCTTCAATCCTGCCCTTGCATGACCTGTGCTGTCTAGGCTAGAAGGCGTCGGCTCCCTGTTCTATTGTGTATCCCTTGTCACAATGTCCAATGCACCTTCATCTAGATATGCTGCTGCAATATCAGCCCTTTCCCTCAGTTTACCTGCTGTTAACCCCAACCCAAACCTTACCCTCAGTTCATCCACTGCCCCTGACCCACCGCTTACCCCCAAACCACCCCTTACCCCCAAATCCCTTACCACTAAACCACTAGTTGTCCCTACCCCCAAACCACCCCTTACCATCAAACTACCCCCTGCTGCCAGCCCAGCCGCTTTAAATTCATATCCCCCTTCACCTGAGATTTTTGGATCAGATGACGAGGAACGGGAGAATCCATCTGATTACTGCATAGGTACTTCACCAGTGTGCCAAATATAACCAAACAACAATACAATCATGTGTGGTAGAAGGAGTTGTTTTATACAGTTTATTGTTGATCGGAAAGAGGTTTCACTGTTTATTGTAGGTGGGTACTACCCGGTGGAAATTGGAGAGATATTCATTGACCGTTACCAGGTGGTGAAGAAGCTGGGATGGGGCCACTTCTCTACTGTGTGGCTAGGCTGGGACATGGAGTAATTATAATAGTTATACTGATAACATTTTTTTTGTTATTGATTGACCTTCGGTTTCATATTGTGATTATGACAGCTGAAGCAAGTGATTCACATTGTTTATTTGTATGTGCAGGAAGAGGCGTTTCGTGGCTCTGAAGTTGGTAAAGAGTGCTCCAACCTTCACAGAGACCGCTTTGGATGAGATCACGCTTCTGAAATGTGTCAGTGTTATATACCCATGTTCAACATTTTATTCTCTGCTATGTATGCCTAATCACAGGTTGCCCAGGAGGCAGCTCTACAGAGTGGTCACTAGCTGGCACAGCCACAAAGTCATAAAATCTGATTTTGATTTTAACATTAACCTTAATCACACTGCTAACCCTAATCTTAAATTAATACCAAATTAATACAACATTTTTGTTTTCATGAATTTTTATGATATAGCCTATGTTGACTTTGCTGCTGGCCCATCTAGCGGAAATCGCTCAGTTCTGCCTCCAGGGCAAGATTCATGACAATAAACGTCAACATGTGGCCTAATCAGTGTAATAACTTGCTTGTTCATCAACCAGAACCAGGTTTAGTAGGAACTATTGCATTTTATTAGTTGCACAATAGTGATAATGAAAAGTAATATGTTTACTCCCCAGTTATGTCCTGTTATAAATTGCTTTTAGGTAAGGGACAGTGATCCATCTGACCCTAAACGTGACACTGTTGTGCAACTTATTGATGACTTCAAAGTCTCTGGAGTCAATGGGGAGCGTATCCTTTAAAAGCCACCTACACGTTATCCTTTTACCCATAATCTCTTTCTCTATGTGTCATATGTTAACTTGCACATTTGAGTGAAATGGTTTCTCCTTGATTCAGCTATGTGTCAGATGTATGCATGGTTCTTGAAGTGCTGGGTCACCAGCTGCTGAAGTGGATCATCAAATCCAACTACACTGGCCTTCCCCTGCCCTGCGTTAAGAGCATCCTTAGACAGGTGCTGTGTCTTTCCCCTGTGATCTCCAAATCCTCTCTTTAGCATTTATCATCCAGAGCAGCTTTTGTGAACGGGTTATCTCCTTTATGTGTTCCCTGGTGTCATGTAGCCACAGTATATCACCATTGTTGTCTCATATCACAGGTTCTTCAGGGCTTAGATTACTTGCACACTAAATGCAAGATTATCCACACAGACATCAAGCCAGAGAACATCCTTTTGAGAGTGGATGAGGTTTACGTCCAGGAGCTGGCAGCTGACACCAAGCTATGGGAGCTGCCAGTGTCTCCTGCTCCCACAAGCTGTTCAGGTTAGGATTGCTCTCAATTCCATGTTGGCATACACGTGTCGCTAAGTACATATCCCTGTGGCATTCCTCTGTCTGTTTTACTTATTTTATTTTTAGATGGAGGGAAATGGAAAATATTTGTTACAGAGAAATGGAGATGCAATAACAGTGCTGAATATTAGGAATATATTATTAACAAGTTTAATATGACTTCAATAGATGGGTCTGTTTAAAACATTTATTCTCTATGATTTGATTTCATGCTCTCTTGTGACCTGCTGATCTCTTCATCTACTACTGATGCCAGCAAACACCAGTCTAAGAGAGAAGCAGGTATGACAATCAACTCTTTATTATTGTCTCAAAGCATAAACCAACCATACTGCTACAAAGGCGGAAAACATATTTTCTGTTCATCATTTGATTACCTCATCTGTCACCTCTGTCTCTCCTACTGCTCATATCATAACCTGGGTATTAGATTGTGTCAAACTTGATGGGGAAGTTGACGGTGGCTTTCCAGGCTCTTGGGGTTTGGGTAAGATGGCCTTGGCATTGTGAGTGTGTGCTGATTCACTGCATCTTGGCCCTCAGAAGAAGAAGGTCCTTTTGGAGAAAAGCTTTGATCTGGGAATCTGGAAATGTGCTTTGTTATATAGTTTGTTTTGGCTGTTGTCAATAGTTACGCTATTGTTTCAGGTTTTCTACTCATTCAACCATGAAAGCAGTGCAGTGCAGTGGTGTGTGTGTGTGTGTTATTTAAAATGTGTATAACCTGCACATGAACTGCATTTCTGAATGAAGGTTCACTATCTACAAATTGCTGTTTGTATTCAGTATGTATGTATTCATTCAGTATGCATAACTACACCTTTGCATTTGTAGTGAAATTGCTCACCGTGATCAACTCATCAATAATTAGCATGCACTGCATGAAAAAGGGATATGCGGTTCTGATATTTAAGGAAATGTAAGATATTGGCAGAGATTGTTTTAAAATATGTTTGAACACTGTTGCATGCTGCAACATGAGACATATGAATCCAATTTTAAGTTTCCCATCAAACGCCTGTGTCTGTGCTCATAGACTGGGAAGGTCTCCAGGATCCCGAGGGCCAGGTTGTCGAGGAAAGAGAAGAAACAACAACAGCAGAAGGGCGAGGACACTTTAGTTGGCCGTCAGAAGAGGGAGAAACATGTGTCATTCTCTAATATCACCACTCCCTGTAGCACCCCTAATTCTACTTCGTCCCCTAAGCCTTCAGGTCCTGTGCATACTACTTGGAGACGGACCCTGCTGCATGAAGAAGCAATGGGCTCTGACAGCAAGGAGTCGGCCTCATCACCTATGGAAGATGCACTATCATTGACTACAATTTCTCACTGCTCTAGACAATCTATAGTGTTACATCATTCTACCCAGAGAGACAACCAGCCCTCATCACCATCACATGGTCAGTCTTGCTCTGGAGCCGGCAGTATAGAGTATATTGTAACAACATATTACCGTGTAGTATACATGTCAGAATACCCGTCAACTAGTCTTTCAAATTAACTTTTATGATTTGCGATATAGTATGTCATGCATATGCTGATGATTAAGTTAATTTATATGAATGATATTGCATGTTGTAATACCTCGTACAAAGCAACCATTTTACACCAGAGCACTCACAGCGCATCCGTTATTGTAGTGGACAGGTGTAGAATTATTCAGTAATATCTATCTGTGGTATCTGCTTTGTGTTTTGTTTCAGGGTTAAGTGAAACAGATCTGTTGGTGAATCTTCTGAAGCCACAGAATGCTGATAAAATCAGCATCAAGATTGCAGATCTGGGAAACGCCTGCTGGGTGGTGAGTTACTATCTGACTACAGACATTATGGATTTGAATGAAAATATGTATTAATAAATATGGTGTCTTAGAAGACAAAATACATTACATAAAAATGATAAGGCCTATTATCAACTAATTGCTCATGGTATGGAGTGCTAAGTCTTCATCTCTGCTCTCCTCCAGTACAAACATTTCACAGAGGACATCCAGACCTGCCAGTACCGCTCTGTTGAGGTCCTGATTGGGTCTGACTATGGCACTCCTGCAGACATCTGGAGCATAGCCTGCATGGTGAGAACCGAGGAGCACCACATCCACCCTTATGTTAATGTTAGCTGTCCAAAATATCTATTACTAAGAAGTCTTACATTTCCATACAGGCGTTTGAGCTGGCCACCGGGGAGTATCTGTTTGAACCCCATTCAGGGGACAACTTCTCACGAGAGGAAGGTAAGCCTTGTCCTTTCTCCTCTCTGTCCTGTGTTTTTCATGGTGATTGTCCTTGCTAAAAAAATAATAATATTTGCTTTAATGTCTCCCATCAGATCACATTGCTCACATAATTGAGTTGCTGGGACCCCTGCCATCCCAGTTTGCCCTCTCAGGGAGAAACTCCAAGCAATATTTCAATCACAAAGGTATATCTATTCACAATTGTTGTATACACCATAGTGGTTTCTTTTAGCATATGATTGATATTTTGGTGAAAAAGTACCCTTATTTTAGTTTCCTGAACATATCCTGTTCAGTCCATCCCCAGTGTAATCATGTAACAGTCTTTCCCTTGTTTGCTCACAGGGCAGCTGCGGCGCATCTCAAGGCTGAAACCGTGGAGTTTGTGTGAGATCCTGCTGGATAAGTATGAGTGGCCGCGGGAACAGGCAGTCCAGTTCAGTGCCTTCCTCCTCACAATGCTGGAGCCCCTCCCAGAGAAGAGAGCCACCGCTGCCCAATGTCTAAAACACCCCTGGATCTCCTCATAGACACACAGTCACCACCGCTGCACAGTGTCTAAAACACCCCTGGATCTCCTCATAGACACACAGTCACCACCGCTGCTCAGTGTCTAAAACCCCCCTGGATCTCCTCATAGACACACAGTCACCACCGCTGCTCAGTGTCTAAAACCCCCCTGGATCTCCTCATAGACACACAGTCACCACTGCTGCACAGTGTCTAAAACACCCCTGGATCTCCTCATAGACACACAGTCACCACCGCTGCTCAGTGTCTAAAATCCCCCTGGATCTCCTCATAGACACACAGTCACCACCGCTGCTCAGTGTCTAAAACCCCCCTGGATCTCTTCATAGACACACAGTCACCACCGCTGCTCAGTGTCTAAAATCCCCCTGGATCTCCTCATAGACACACAGTCACCACCGCTGCTCAGTGTCTAAAACCCCCCTGGATCTCTTCATAGACACACAGTCACCACCGCTGCTCAGTGTCTAAAACCCCCCTGGATCTCCTCATAGACACACAGTCACCACCGCTGCTCAGTGTCTAAAACCCCCCTGGATCTCCTCATAGACATCATACCACTGCCCGGTGTCTAAAACCCCCCTGGATCTCCTCTTGGACACAGAGTCACCACCGCTGCCCAATGTCTAAAACCCCCCTGGATCTCCTCATGGACACAGAGTCACCACCGCTGCCTGGTGTCTGAACCCGATCTGGATCTCCTCATGGATACAGAGCAGTCTCACTGAGGCCACAGGGGTTACACAGGTGACACAGTGTCTAACATGCTGGGAGAAGTCCCTTAATATGATGTTTGAATTGTGGGTAACGGCTGATATTCAGCAAGTGTTCTTTTTTCAGCTGATTTTCTGCAAGTGTTATTTTTCTGTTTGCTCAGGGAGAGCATTCAACTATCAATATATTTTGTCTGATGATTTAAAACCTTTGATGTGGAGAAAATAACTTTTGTTTTGGAGCGATATAGCCAAAAATAATAATAATAATAATAATAATAATAATAATAATATGCCATTTAGCAGACGCTTTTATCCAAAGCGACTTACAGTCATGCGTGCATACATTTTTGTGTATGGGTGGTCCCGGGGATCGAACCCACTACCTTGGCGTTACAAGCGCCGTGCTCTACCAGCTGAGCTACAGAGGAGCACAAAAACATGCTGTTTTTGTCAAGAGTCTATCCCGGTTTGGCTTTGTACATGAGTGCCCTTGACAAGTTTTCAAATATATAACCAGTTTATTTAAAACAGTCACTGTAGAAGTTTACAGTTATATCTAGATATTACATTTATATTCCAGATTCTTTCTGACACGATGGCTTGTGTTCTGATTATTCAAATTTAAGCACATCAATGACCAAAATCAAGACTTAATGGAATCCTGACTGTAAAAAGGACACTGGGAAACAGGGGCGGACTGGGACCAGAAATCGGCCCTGGCATTTCTGAAACACTGGTCCATTTCTTTCCTTGAGGCCCCCACACAGAGAAATTTTTTCGTTAAAGCCACAACACCGGCCCATTTTTTTCCTTGAAGCCTCCATTATTAGCCAGATAATAAAATAAGTTAGATAGGCCCAGTGGGCAAAAAATGGACCAGCCCATCTGGCATTTCCCCGAAATGCCAGATGGGCAGTCCGCCCCTACTGGGAAAGCTTTACTTTTGTTTTTGAGTTTCATTGAATAAATGTTGTTTGTTTATACAAAGCTTTCATTATCTACCACTTTTCTCTGAATAATAAAATACATTTTCTGTTGTTGACAGAATTTATAGAAATAGGGTTAGACATTGTGTTAATTTAGCCAATTCATGGATGAATTCAGAATACTCTATGGCTGCATTTAGACAGGCAGCCCAATTCTGATATTCTTTTCACTAATTGGTGATTTAGGCTGCCTGTCTATACGCAGCCTATGTAATTCACCTGACTCCTGTCATAAGACCAGTGGAGGCTGCTGAGGGAGGACGTTTGATAATAATGGCTGGAATGGAGCGAATGGAATGGCATCAAACCATGTGTTTGATGTATTTGATACCATTCCGCTCCAGCCATTACCACAAGCCCGTCCTCCCCAGTTAAGGTGCCACCAATGTCCTGTGCATAAGACCTAATGGAATGACGAGGAAGCAGTGGCTTCAAAGGGGATTAGGATACTGTTGAGTAGGGCTCAAAACTGCAGCCCAGTCACCCAGTCCATGCAGGGTAAGCCATACCTCCCCACTTTTCACTGCTTCCTTCTGTGCCGTCCCTCCTTATGTGTGAGTTTTCTGTGAGTATGTGTTGATGACTGAAAGTGTGATTTAGTGAGGCCTCCACAGTCACATATTCCTCTCAGTTCACATTAAAGTAGCAATCCGCAGTTCAAACAATTATAAAGCGGGCACCCCGCCACTGATTAGGTAAACAGCTGAGGGAGGGGGCTGGAGAAATGTAACCACTCTCAAATTGATGGACAGGGCTATAGATACAAGGACTGACCATCCATGATATCAAAATTATAGTTTGAATCATGTTTTGAGGCTATACAGTGTTTGTTCACGTTCACATTGTTTACAAACAAAGGAGTAAAACAAGCTTATATATTTTGTTCTGATGGGGAATGACAGCTCATGAGGCGTCAACAAGTTATATTCTTGAAATAATTAATGGGTATATATCATTCATTTAAATGTCAAAAAATGAATGTAGCAACTGCAGATTGCCGCTTTAAGGGTTAGCTTTAATTTAGCAGCTGGGAGAGAGGGGAAGGGTTGGCAAGTAGGGAGGGGTTAGTCTCATGAAAATGTGAGTGTGCACAGATGTGTGAGACACAAACTGTGTTGGCAGGTGTGAAACAGTTCTATGGTGAGAGAGGCGGGATCAAGAAGAAGTGTGAGAGTGAAGAAAAGGAAGAATATCACCACCCTGATTGGAGACAGACAAGCTTCAGATGGAAGTGAGACCTGTGTTATATTATGGCATTTACATGTCTTTGATCTGTCTTTGCATTCTGAAATAGTAAACTAAATAGCTACTACTTTGTGCATGCTTGCATTGTTGGTTTCAACTGTGTTTTTATGTTAACAGTGCAGAGAATTGTCTTCTCCTTTTAAAAATCTTGCGATATTGCAGAGCATTTTAACATTTTTGACTGACTGAATTGTGTAGATTTTAATGGAACTCTTCAGATGCCATAATTACATCAGAGGTGATTGGAGCTAAATATGTGTGGCATGTGTTTTTCTCGTATGCCAATCTCTTCACCTCACCCTGGAATGATCTTCAGAGTTGTGTTTCATTGAGTTCTCTCTCTGCAGTTTATAATCATTTAGTATAATCTGACTTTAATATTTTGTCTTTTATATAGATTTTCAGTTTAGTCACCAAGCACCAAGCACCTTGATTCACTGGGGTGTAATGCCCACTGGAATATGGTATAGTTAATCTGCTTCATCAAACAACTCAAAGTATATTTGCCATCAAATGAAGACACTATCTCAAAGCGCCTGATTGAGCAAACCATGCCTTATGAATTTCCAGAGGCTTTTATGTATGTAGCTACAGTACATGTGTAAGAAAGCCAAACTACAGCCCCAGTAACATGGCTTTTGTTTCACAACTCTTGACCAACTCAAAGCCCAACTTAATAGGCATTACCTCAGCTCAGCCTCTCCTGGTCTTTCAGACATGAGTTGCATTTTCTATGAAAGGTTTAAGAGTCGTCCGTCCCCCCCCCCCCCTGCTCTTTTTCTGTTTTCACAGAAAACCAAAAATCCATTTTTTTCTGTGTTTTGGCTTTAGGCTGAGTTCTTATCCCTTTTTGCACTTTTCTTCAACTCAACCACTATGTTTCAGAGGTGGTTTGGATTTTCAATATAAGCGCTATATTGTTGACTATCTTTTCTTAATGCATAGACACTATATATTTGTCATAGTCCAGTGGGATTAGTTAGTATTATTTTGTAACACATGGATACATTCATGTATTTGTTTATAATATTATTATAAATAGCTCTCTGCTGGAGAGTAATGAGTGGCTATGACAACAGGGGTTAAATGATAATGCAGGAGGAAATGTTTGAATGTCATCTGCTGCATAGTAAACACCCATTTCATTAGCCTAGTACAAAAGTAGGAATGAAAGGAGCTATTCATTTCGCTATGATCACACAGATTTCTTGTGGACGTACTGTATTGCAAAATATTTTTAAATACTGTACCAAGTTAGCTAGCTGAATAAACTAAGTTAGAGTCTATTCCTAGAAAACATTGAACCGCTGTAGTTTACAACAATTATAATGTCTAAAGTGGAAGTTGGGAGAGTTATATTTGAGTGTTTCAGTGAAAGGTAAGTGAGGGAGGCCCCGCTCTCTTGCTTTCCCAGATGTTTAGTAAATTTCATTCCGATCTCCTTTGCATTATTGTAGCCTTTTTCTGTAGCCGGTCAACTATGTGTCTATCCCTGTTCTCTCCTCTCTGCACAGGCCATACAAACACTTCACACCGCGTGGCTGCTGCCACTCTAACCTGGTGGTCCCTGCGCGCACGACCCACGTGAAGTTCCAGGTCTCCGGCAGCCTCTGGAACTGCCGTTCTGCGGCCAACAAGGCAGAGTTCATCTCAGCCTATGCTACCCTCAGTCCCTCGACTTCTTGGCGCTGACGGAAACATGGATTACCACAGAAAACACTGCTACTCCTACTGCTCTTTCCTCGTCTGACCATGTGTTCTCGCATACCCCAAGAGCATCTGGTCAGCGCGGCTGTGGCACAGGAATCCTCATCTCTCCCAAGTGGACTTTCTCTCTTTTTCCTCTGACCCATCTGTCTATCTCCTCATTTGAATTCCATGCTGTCACAGTCACTAGCCCATTCAAGCTTAACATCCTTGTCATTTATCGCCCTCCAGGTTCCCTTGGAGAGTTCATCAATGAGCTTGACGCCTTGCTAAGTTCCTTTCCTGAGGATGGCTCACCCCTCACAGTTCTGGGTGACTTTAACCTCCCTACGGCTGCCTTTGACTCATTTCTCTCTGCCTCCTTCTTTCCACTCCTTTCCTCTTTTGACCTCACCCTCTCACCGTCCCCCCCTACTCACAAGGCAGGCAATACGCTTGACCTCATCTTTACTAGATGCTGTTCTTCTACTAATCTCACTGCAACTCCCCACCACGTCTCCAACCACTACTTTGTATCCTTTTCTCTCTCGCTCTCCTCCAACACTACTCACTCTGCCCCTACTCCGATGGTAATGTGCCGTCGCAACCTTCGCTCTCTCTCTCCCGCTACTCTCTCCTCTTCCATCCTATCATCTCTTCCCTCTGCTAAATCCTTCTCCCTCCGATCTCCTGATTCTGCCTCCTCAACCCTCCTCTCCTCCCTTTCTGCATCTTTTGACTCTCTATGTCCCCTATCCTCCCGGCCGGCTCGGTCCTCCCCTCCTGCTCCGTGGCTTGACGACTCATTGTGAGCTCACAGAAGAGGGCTCCCTGCGGACCTGTCATCTTTTGAGGAAAACTAGACTCCCTGCGGACCTGTCATCTTTTCACTCCCTCCTCTCTACATTCTCTTCCTCTGTTTCCGCTGCTAAAGCCACTTTCTACCACTCTAAATTTCAAGCCTCTGCCTCTAACCCTAGGAAGCTCTTTGCCACCTTCTCCTCCCTGCTGAATCCCCCTTCCCCTCCCTCATCCCTCTCTGTGGATGACTTCGTCAACCATTTTGAAAAGAAGGTTGACGACATCCGATCCTCATTTATTAAGTCAAATGACACCGCTGGTCCTGCTCACACTGTCCTACCCTATGCTTTGACTTATTTCTCCCCTCTCTCTCCAGATGAAATCTTGCGACTTGTGACGGCCGGCCGCCCAACAACCTGCCCGCTTGACCCTATCCCCTCCTCTCTTCTCCAGACCATTTCCGGAGACCTTCTCCCTTACCTCACCTCGCTCATCAACTCATCCTTGACCGCTGGCCATGTCCCTTCCGTCTTCAAGAGAGCGAGAGTTGCACCCCTCCTCAGAAAACCTACACTCAATCCCCCCGATGTCAACAACTACAGACCAGTATCCCATCTTTCTTTTCTCTCCAAAACTCTTGAGCGTGCCGTCTCTAGCCAGCTCTCCTGCTATCTCTCAGAATGACCTTCTTGATCCAAACCAGTCAGGTTTCAAGACTAGTCATTCAACTGAGACTGCTCTTCTCCGTGTCACGGAGGCTATCCGCACTGCTAAAGCTAACTCTCTCTCCTCTGCTCTTATCCTTCTAGACCTATCCGCTGCCTTTGATACTGTGAACCATCAGATCCTCCTCTCCACCCTCTCCGAGTTGGGCATCTCCGGCGCTGCTCACTCTTGGATTGGGTCCTACCTGACAGGTCGCTCCTACCAGGTGGCGTGGCGAGAATCTGTCTCCGCACCACGTGCTCTCACCACTGGTGTCCCCCAGGGCTCAGTTCTAGGCCCTCTCCTATTCTCACTATACACCAAGTCACTTGGCTCTGTCATATCCTCACATGGTCTCTCCTATCATTGCTACGCAGACGACACACAATTAATTTTCCCCTTTCCCCCTTCTGATAACCAGGTGGCGAATCACATCTCTGCATGTCTGGCAGACATATCAGTGTGGATGTTGGATCACCACCTCAAGCTGAACCTCGGCAAGACAGAGCTGCTCTTCCTCCCGGGGAAGGACTGCCCGCTCCATGATCTCGCCATCACGGTTGACAACTCCATTGTGTCCTCCTCCCAGAATGCAAAGAACCTTGGCGTGACGCTGGACAACACCCTGTTGTTCTCCGCTAACATCAAAGCGGTGACCCGATCCTGCAGGTTCATGCTCTACAACATTCGGAGAGTACGACCCTACCTTACACAGAAAGCGGCACAGCTCCTAATCCAGGCACTTGTCATCTCCTGTCTGGATTACTGCAACTCACTGTTGGCTGGGCTCCCTGCCTGTGCCATTAAACCCCTTCAACTTATCCAGAACGCTGCAGCCCGTCTGGTGTTCAACCTTCCCAAGTTCTCTCATGTCACCCCGCTCCTCCGCACACTCCACTGGCTTCCAGTTGAGGCTCGCATCTATGGCTTCCAGTTGAGGCTCGCATCTACTACAAGACCATGGTGCTTGCCTACGGAGCTGTGAGGGGAACGTTACCTCCTTACCTTCAGGCTCTGATCAGACCCTACACCCAAACGAGGGCACTACGTTCATCCACCTCTGGCCTGCTAGCTCCGCTACCTCTACGGAAGCACAGTTCCCGCTCAGCCCAGTCAAAGCTATTCGCTGCTCTGGCACCCCAATGGTGGAACAAGCTCCCCCACGACGCCAGAACAGCGGAGTCACTGACCACCTTCCGGAGACACTTGAAACCCTACCTCTTTAAGGAATACCTGGAATAGTATAAAGTAATCCTTCTTCCCCCACCCCATAAAAAAAATACAAAAAAGTGGTTGTCCCACTGGCTATCATAAGTTGAATGCACCAATTTGTAAGTCGCTCTGGATAAGAGCATCTGCTAAATGATGTAAATGTAAATGTACAGTGTTTCTATGGTCACTTATGTTGTCCTCTGTAGCTCAGCTGGTAGAGCACGGCGCTTGTAACGCTAAGGTAGTGGGTTTGATCCCCGGGACCACCCATACACACACAAAAAAAAATATGTATGCACGCATGACTGTATGTCGCTTTGGATAAAAGTGTCTGCTAAATGGCATATTATTATTATTATTATTATTATATTATTATGTTTATCATAAATACTCCGTATGTGTCTCGGGGGGAGTTGGGATATGCAAAAAACACATAGGACAAATATAAGCAGCCAGTAAACTAGAAATATTTTATATTACAGTGAATTCATTTTTATAAACAGCCATCTCTTGTGTGTCCTAGGATGTGGCTGAGCCTTCTCTCTGGTTTGATCGGCGGATCAGCTGTCCTCTTTGCTCTCTACCGTTGGGTGATCCCCACAGCTGTGCAGTATCATGGAGGACTGGCACTACTGTGGCACGATGTCATCGTGGAGCGTGCAGTGGACACTTTGACCCGGACATCACGTCCTCAGGTGAGCTCTCTAAACAGATTTACACATCAGTCTTTGCTTTTTACAATTTTTTCTATAGTATGTTGGTATTGTGATTCTCCCAGACCTATCATGAAAGGTTTCATGACAGTATTTCCCTTTGAGAGTTTCAAAGTAAAATGACAGTGTGTGTCATCCCTTTAATGTAGGCCTACTCATGTAACGTAATGTATGCCTCATCGTAGGGACAATACCAGCTGTCATTTCCCCCCAGAAATATCTGGCATCTTCTGAAGGCAGTGCAAAGGAAAGCTTGTCAATTTCGTTGATTGAAGGCTCGGACCAAGGTGCAGCGTGGTAGGCAAACATATTAATTTATTAAATGAAACACAGACAAAACAACAAAATAAACACGAACGTAAAGTTCTGCAGGCTACAAAGCAACCATACAAAAACAAGATCCCACAAACTAAGGTGGGAAAAGGGCTGCCTAAGTATGATCCCCAATCAGAGAAAACGATAGACAGCTGGTCAGGGCGTGACAAAGCTACTGTAGGAGACCCCCAGAGTGTGATCACAGCCATCGACCACCTCTGCAAACATAGAGAATGGGTCATGAATGTGGGGGATGAGAAAGGTGCTGTATGGATGAAATGTTATTTGAATGGGTTATCGATAACCAGCTGAGTGCCAAGACCTTTTAATACTTAATCTTCTTTTTATCTACATTCACCTCCAAAATTATTGGCACCCTTGATAAAGATGAGCAAAAAAGTCTGTATAAAATATATATATTATTTTATACTAATACATTTGCTCAGAGAAAGAGATTTTGTTTAACGAGTAAAGAAAATGGCACCCATAAAGATTATTATAAATAAAATCAAACAAAATAAAATCTGCATTAACATTATACTTTCTTAAAGTTAATCTCAGTTTAAGGAACTGTACTGTGGCCTTACATGGTTTCCTGTTTCACTGGGGTATCAAAATTAGGTAACACGCATGTAAAATCACAATTGTTAAATGCAAGGAACTCACAAATTAAAAGAGACAAATGGTTGTTGACTTTCATAAATCAGGCAATGGGTACAAAAAAAACGACTTAAAAGACAAATATACCACAGTGGTAAACTTGCCTGGTAGAGGACGCATGTGTATCTTGTCCCCACGCACTGTGAGGAAGATGGTTCAGGAGACAAAGAAAAGTCCAAGGGCCACAGTTGGAGAATTACAGAACTTGGTCGCATCTTGGGGTGACCAAGTCTCCAATTCTCTAATTACACGCCACCTCTTGGCCAATGGGCTAGTTGGAAGGGTTGCCATATAAAAGCCTTCATTGAGATCAACAAACAAATGTAACAATTTGAAACCGGGTGCTATGGTGAGATGAGACGAAAAACGTTTTTGAGATCTAGATTTTTTAGATTAAAAAAAAACTTGTTAAACAAAATATTTTTCACGAGCAATTGTATTAGTATATAAGAATATATATATATATATATATATATATATATATATATATATATATGTATATATATATTTTGCATACAATATAGCTCAGTATTTGTTTTATTTATTTTATTTATTTTATTTATTTTATACAGTTTTTTGCTTATCTTTATCAAGGGTGCTAATCATTTTGGAGGTGACTGTATATATTTTTTTCAGTCTCATTGTATGATTATTGGATAGAGAGAGATAGAGGTGAAAGAGAGAGTGCTGGAAGAGCAGTAGGCTGCAGCAGTATATACCGTATGCGTTCCAGAGGCAAAGGCTTAGACCGCTAGACCACCCCAAGCCACATGTCTACCTGGTCTTGACTGTGTCCACATCTTTGTGAGTGTCTATTTACTGTATGTGTTCATTACAGGCTCCATTCTGGACTCGGTGGTCAATGAAGTGAGTCCAGTTACTGTCTTGGAGTTAGGCACTTACTGTGGCTACTCAACAGTGCGAATAGCCTGCCTATTACCCCCTGGCGCTAGTGTCATTACCTTGGAGTTCAACCCAGATTATGCTGCCATTGCTCGTCAAGTCATCAGATGGTCAGGACTGGAGGATAAGGTAAAAGGAGATTGGGATGGATTAACATAATGACATATGATGATGAACGGGATGTACATTCATGTAAATATGGGTGGTAGATGTTACAAGATACAGGTCAGTTGTAGCTCAGAAGCTTAGATGATATCTCATTACAGTTGTCCAGGTGCAGCTAGTGGAGGGAGCCTCAGGAGCTTGGATCCCTCGGATGAAGGAGCAATTCGGGGTCCAGGTGTTTGAATTAGTTTTCCTGGACCACTGGAAAGATGGCTACCTTCCTGACACAAAACTGCTGGAGGTAAGTAAGATAACTAATTTGACCATCCTGTGATTATAGGGAATCATTGATAGTCTTACACTCTTACATTGATATGATCAATCAAAGCCCAAAACAAATGTCATTATTCGCTCTTCCTATCTCCCTCTCTTTCTCCCATTCCCCCAACTCTATCTCTTCCTATCTCCCTCTATTTTTTCCCATTCCCCCAACTCTATCTCTTCCTATCTCCCTCTCTTTCTCCCATTCCCCCAACTCTATCTCTTTCTATCTCCCTCTCTTTCTCCCATTCCCCCAACTCTATCGCTTCCTATCTCCCTCTCTTTCTCCCATTCCCCCAACTCTACCTCTTCCTATCTCTCTCTCTAGGAGTGTGGACTCATACAGAAAGGCACAGTGCTGCTGGCAGACAATGTCATCTGTCCAGGAACCCCTGACTATCTGGAGTACGTCTGCAACAGTTCTCGCTACAACAGTCACTACGACAGATCCCACCTGGAGTACACTAAAGCAGAGGACGGCCTGGAGAAGTCTGTGAGCCTCTTGCTTTACAGCTGCAGAATTACGGTTGTGTGATGTCTTTTTCAAACATGGATTTAAAACACTAGGTAGCAGTAGTGTGCCTTTTTAGAGATTCATTCAGACAACTGAAAAGCAGCATGCAGTGGTCCCGTCATAACTTCATAGCATTTATAGCCTTCTTTACGGTTTAGGCAGACAGAAAATGGTCTAAAGTCTTACACCATATCTAGCAACTTAAAATACTTATTAATGTTTTGTTATGACACTATCAGATCTACATTGAGTTATTAAAGGTTCTGCGAGAAAGGTCTATGTTGCGCTGCTTTAAACTAATTTTATAGACTTAAGTCTTTGATTTGATCAAATCCAATGGGTATCAAACAGATCACTAAGGTATAAACTTAAGCCGGATATTAACAGTACTGATTAATGTGACTTATCCTGGAGATGCTATAAAAAATGATCGTATCTATACAGTAGAGAAACAGATGCACCTTTATAATTTCCGTGTGATTATGAATCACAGTATTGTTTTAGTTGATAGTTGGTAGAACATGTTCCTTACATGATATTCTACATGTGAATTAACAGGTGTGAATGAGAATGTATGAATAAAATCAATGCCTTTCTAATCTCCCCTGCAAAGAGTGACGGAGTTCCATCATAAAAGGGGGAGGGACTACATATAGTACAGCTGCATAAAAATATATAGGCTAGTCCACCTAGGGATTTCTTCCGCATGATAATCCCAATCTGTGCCCATTAGTGCACTGAGAGAGAAGAGGGTTCGAGAGAGAGAGAGGAAAGGGGGTCAACAGAGAGAGGAGGAGTGACAGAGAGAAACAGAGAGCAAGAGGGGGAGAGCTTTTAAGGGATTTGGCAGTGATTTGTAGAATCTCAGTGGCGTAATGTGCTTTTTCTACTTTTCTACTGATTCAGACATGATGCTATACACTGAAGCCTCGAAAACCAACGTTTTTTATACGTTTTTATGAACTAAAACAATTATTTTAATGATATTGAACGATTTGAGTCCATTACAGTAATTTTGGGAAAATAAATATAATATCTGAGATGTTAACGGATGTACTTTTTGCTAAAACAACGAAGAAACCGACACTGAATATCATCACATATTAAATATGGGAATAGGTCTGTTTTGGAATGATGGAGTGATGGATGAAATCAAGACTAGTCCAAATGGAATGCTCAGGTAAGCAGTCAATTCTTATATTTATGTACAAATATGTGGCACATATTTGTACATCTCTATTTCAATGCATTGCAGAATTTGTGTAGACTTCAGGCCAGTATCCAACACAGTTTTTTGATTGTTTGAACAATATTGATATGTGCATCAAATGATAGCATGTGATGTTTGGTTGGATGATAATAAAAAAACATGGAAAGATAAAGCTTTAATTAAACTATATTATTGTAATTTCAATATCTTTAGTCGGATATGTCTTAATAACCTTTTACTGCAGTGGGCTAAATCAGAGTCACACAGAGTGTTTCTTGGTAGTCTTAAACAAATCTACTTTGAAACAAAAGTATACACCTCACACACAGGGTTATGGGCAAAATAAAAAGACACCTGTATCATGTCAGATATGTATTACATTTTGAGTTTGTATTCCAATATTACACTTTATACAGTGGGGAGAACAAGTATTTGATACACTGCAGATTTTGCAGGTTTTCCTACTTACAAAGCATGTAGAGGTCTGTAATTTTTATCATAGGTACACTTCAACTGTGAGAGACGGAATCTAAAACAAAAATCGAGAAAATCACATTGTATGATTTTTAAGTAATTAATTTGCATTTTATTGCATGACATAAGTATTTGATCACCTACCAACCAGTAAGAATTCCGGCTCTCACAGACCTGTTAGTTTTTCTTTAAGAAGCCCTCCTGTTCTCCACTCATTACCTGTATTAACTGCACCTGTTTGAACTCGTTACCTGTATAAAAGACACCTGTCCACACACTCAATCAAACAGACTCCAACCTCTCCACAATGGCCAAGACCAGAGAGCTGTGTAAGGACATCAGGGATAAAATTGTAGACCTGCACAAGGCTGGGATGGGCTACAGGACAATAGGCAAGCAGCTTGGTGAGAAGGCAACAACTGTTGGCGCAATTATTAGAAAATGGAAGAAGTTCAAGATGACGGTCAATCACCCTCGGTCTGGGGCTCCATGCAAGATCTCACCTCGTGGGGCATCAATGATCATGAGGAAGGTGAGGGATCAGCCCAGTATTACACGGCAGGACCTAGTCAATGACCTGAAGAGAGCTGGGACCACAGTCTCAAAGAAAACCATTAGTAACACACTACGCCGTCATGGATTAAAATCCTGCAGCGCACGCAAGGTCCCCCTGCTCAAGCCAGCGCATGTCCAGGCCCGTCTGAAGTTTGCCAATGACCATCTGGATGATCCAGAGGAGGAATGGGAGAAGGTCATGTGGTCTGATGAGACAAAAATAGAGCTTTTTGGTCTAAACTCCACTCGCCGTGTTTGGAGGAAGAAGAAGGATGAGTACAACCCCAAGAACACCATCCCAACCGTGAAGCATGGAGGTGGAAACATCATTCTTTGGGGATGCTTTTCTGCAAAGGGGACAGGATGACTGCACCGTATTGAGGGGAGGATGGATGGGGCCATGTATCGCGAGATCTTGGCCAACAACTTCCTTCCCTCAGTAAGAGCATTGAAGATGGGTCGTGGCTGGGTCTTCCAGCATGACAACGACCCGAAACACACAGCCAGGGCAACTAAGGAGGGGCTCCGTAAGAAGCATCTCAAGGTCCTGGAGTGGCCTGGCCAGTCTCCAGACCTGAACCCAATAGAACATCTTTGGAGGGAATTGAAAGTCCGTATTGCCCAGCGATAGCCCCGAAACCTGAAGGATCTGGAGAAGGTCTGTAAGGAGGAGTGGGCCAAAATCCCTGCTGCAGTGTGTGCAAACCTGGTCAAGACCTACAGGAAACGTATGATCTCTGTAATTGCAAACAAAGGTTTCTGTACCAAATATTAAGTTCTGCTTTTCTGATGTATCAAATACTTATGTCATGCAATGAAATGCAAATTAATTACTTAAAAATCATACAATGTCATTTTCTGGATTTTTAGATTCCGTCTCTCACAGTTGAAGTGTACCTATGATAAAAACGACAGACCTCTACATGCTTTGTAAGTAGGAAAACCTGCAAAATCGGCAGTGTATCAAATACTTGTTCTCCCCACTGTATATATCACAGAAGACTGAATATATAAGAAAACCGTTTAACATAGAAACAATGGATTTTTAGCAGCTTATTTTGTGTGTGTTATTAATTATGAAATTATGAATAATATAACATTCCACCCATGAGACCACTAGGTCATTTGACCGCAGGAAAGGTCTACACCAAATATTTTACAAATGTTCAGTACTGTTATAACTTAATGGGATCTCCCCCTCACACAGTGAAATTGTAAGGAAAGTAAGCTGGATAGGCAGTCAAACTGAGCTATAAATATTTCAGTATATATATTCTTAGCTTCAGATCAGGATGAGACCCTTAATGATTCTATTTCTCAGCCCTATGTTTCTCCTATGTTTCATTAAACCTTAACAGTATTACAGAACATAATGAAAACAACATAAAACACATATACTTTATCTGTCCATGTTAGCTTTTGTGCAATATTTATGAGATGTTATCACTATGCTCTTTGCTGCTCTCTTGGCTGTGTTTTACTTGCCCAACCTTTTCCGTACAGATAACCTTTACTCATCAAGACTGTCTTTGCTGTGGGGTTTGAGTGGGACTATGTTTAAGTCTAGGAGCAGTAGATATTCTCGGACACAGACACATACTTTTAAACAAATGTGTTATGCTCATTTTGATATTGTGGTGAAGAACTGAAGTGGCATGTCCTATATTTTCCGCTTGAATGAGAATGTTTGGTAATATTATACACTCACATGCAACAACTTCAAAGATTTTATTGAGTTACAGTTCATATGAGGAAATCAGTCAATATAAATAAATAAATTAGGCCCTAATATATGGATTTCACATGACTGGGCAGGGGCGCAGCCATGGGTGGGCCTGAAAGGGCATAAGCCTACCCACTAATGAGCCAGGCACACCCACTTGGGAGCCAGGCCCAGCCAATCAGAATGAGTTTTTCCCCACAAAGGGGCTTTATTACAGACAGAAATACTATTTTTGTGCGTATGGAACATTTCTGCGATCTTTTATTTCAGCTCATGAAACATGGGACCAACACTTTACATGTAGCGTTTATATTTTTGTTCAGTATATATGCCAGTGATGTCAAGACATACTGTACAGTAATTTCTGCTGCCATGGTTAGAGAACTTGCAGATCAATTTGTATGAGAAACAGTTATTTGACTCATGCAGTGTTAGTTTAAAATTGATGTAATGAAAGCTACACAGATGTAGGATCTTCATTTGAGCCAGTTTGCTACAGCAGGAAAATAATCCAGCAGAAACAGGAAATATGAATTATTATGTGGATTATAATTAATGGACATTTTTTTAGGGGTTGATAGTTTTTTCATCAGGAAATCAAGTCTGAAATTTCAAAGTGGAATTTACAAACTTCAGAAGCCTTTTTAAACCTCAAATACAATACACTAAAAGTAAAAAATGTCCTGCATTGCACTGATAACTTAACCAAAGACCAACATGTCCTCATTAAACTGTTCACAGGTATCAAAGGTAGAGGGAGGAGCCTGCTACTTTAACGCTGGATACAGGAACCTTTGATGGCCAAAATCATGACATCACAGTGCCACAAATCCCAGTCCTGCTGTGGGTTTGGTCCACCATTTGGATGTCATGTAACAACATTGCCCAGGTTACTGTTAATGTTGATTTTGGGTCTAAGTCCAGAGACATGGGCTCAGCAGGGCACACAACCACACTCCATCAAGATCGAGGGGGACATCACCCTGGGTGGCCTGTTCCCATTGCACTCCCGTGGGCCAGCTGGTGTGCCCTGTGGGGAGATCAAGCGGGAGAAAGGGATCCACCGTATGGAGGCCATGCTGTATGCCCTGGATCAGATCAACAGTGACCCTGACCTCCTGCCTAACATCACCCTGGGGGCCAGGATCCTGGACACCTGTTCTAGAGACACCTACGCCCTGGAGCAGTCGCTCACCTTCGTCCAGGCCCTCATCCAGAAGGATAACTCGGACGTGCGCTGCTCCAATGGCGAGCCACCCATCATTCCCAAACCGGAGAGGGTGGTGGGAGTAATCGGGGCATCAGGCAGCTCAGTGTCCATCATGGTGGCCAACGTGCTGAGACTCTTTGCGGTGAGATTCCTTCCTGTGCTGTGCATTGTCAGCCCTCACTGTACTATATTCCCATGCTGCATCCTCATCCTCACACACATATATATTTTCTTCATCAGAGTTAAAGACCCAGTGCAGTCAAAAACATGATTTTCCTGTGTTTTATATATATTTCCACACTATGAGGTTGGAATAATACTGTGAAATTGTGAAATTTATGATCATGTCCTTATAGTGTATGAACTGTTTGAAAAGATTGAAGCTATTATTGTTTATTTTTGAACATTTTAATTAAAAACAATCACAGTAAGGTACTTAATTGTGGTCCTCTGTAGCTCAGCTGGTAGAGCACGGCGCTTGTAACGCTAAGGCAGTGGGTTCGATCCCCGGGACCACCCATACACAAAAATGTATGCACGCATGACTGTAAGTCGTTTTGGATAAAAGCGTCTGCTAAATGGCATATTATATTATTATTATTATTATTATTATTATATTTAATTGTTACCTAGAAATTATTTTATATTGAGATAAACAGCTGCATTGGACCTTTAATATACCTTTTAAATTACTTAATGTGTGGGGCAATTGTGTGTTTTGATATAAATCAAAACTACACGTTGAACTGACGTCTGTGCCCAGTGGGATGTAGCAGTAGGGTATGACGTCTATGGAATGTGAACCATATTCCCCTGTGAACCAATGTTCTGAGCCGTGAATAGGTTTTCCTGATGAATCAGCTGTGAACTCACACCCTGGCATTTTCCTCAACTGTTTAATTTCACACAAACTTAATATAAGAAACTAAGACTAAGATATATTTTTATGGAACTGCATGAAAGTCATATACTTGATTTATTCTCATCTATATGCAGTTGCATGTTGGCCTTCCAAGAAGGATGTTGGACAAGAGTGCCATTCTGTGAGCTGTGAGATGTTGCAGGCACAACCCCTAATTTGGAGTTCAGGAGTTAGGTGATAAAATACAGAGTAAGAAACACTGCAGTTTTGATAAAAAATAATAGTGTGTTATAAACACCTTTCAAAATACCGCAGTAGGTAATCCTAGTCATGTAGTGAATGTATTTGTTGATGCATTGTGGAGTTGTTGAGAGATGATTGACCTCTGATCATTGACTACACTGCTCATTGCTGTAATGGGACACTGAGGCTGCCTAAATCCCTCAGTGACTTAGTGACATGACCCATTAATGACCCACTAGTAATCTAGAAATGTAGCTGTTAAAACAAGCCATTTCAACTGGGTCAAATAATCTTCAGGTTCAAGAAGCTAAGCATCTACCATCTCTAGTCCTCTGTCACTAGTTAGTTCTCATTATGGAGAGCTATTAGTTGGGAACCAAGGAGTCAGTTTGCATATCGTGCAGATGTTAACTACAGAATTATAGATCCCATCCTCCATGAAGCCCCTCTCAGCAGCTCAAGACCCTGTCTGAAAATAGAGCATCAGGCCAGAGGGATGACATTGGTTCTACGATCAGCAACTTTCTAACCGGTGTTCAGCAGATTTAACTAAGTGGTGGGCTTGTCCTGTACATACAGTTGAAGTTGGAAGTTTACATACACTTAGGTTGGAGTCATTAAAACTAGTTTTTCAACCGCTCCACAAATGTCTTGTTAACAAACTATAGTTTTGGCAAGTCGGTTAGAACATCTACTTTGTGCATGACACAAGTAATATTTCCAACAATTGTTTACAGACAGATTATTTCACTTATAATTCACTGTATCACAATTCCAGTGGGTCAGAAGTTTACATACACTAAGTTGACTGTCCCTTTAAAAAGCTTGGAAAATTCAGAAAACTATGTCATGGCTTTAGAAGCTTCTGATAGGCTAATTGACATCATTTGAGTCAATTGGAGGTGTACCTGTGGATGTATTTCAAGGCCTACCTTCAAACTCAGTGCCTCTTTGCTTGACATCATGGGAAAATCAAAATAAATCAGCCAACCACGTTCATCTGTACAAACAATAGTACGCAAGTATAAACACCATGGGACCACCGCTCAGGAAGGAGACGCGTTCTGTCTCCTAGAGATGAACATACTTTGGTGCGAAAAGTGTAAATCAATCCCTGAACAACAGCAAAGGACCTTGTGAAGATGCTGGAGGAAACAGGTACAAAAGTATCTATTTCCACAGTAAAACGAGTCCTATATCATAACCTGAAAGGCCACTCAGCAAGGAAGAAGCCACTGCTCCAAAACCGCCATAAAAAAGCCAGACTACGGTTTGCAACTGCACGTGAGGACAAAGATCGTACTTTTTGGAGAAATGTCCTCTGGTCTGATGAAACAAAAATAGAACTGTTTGGCCATAATCGTTATGTTTGGAGGAAAAAGGGGAACTTGCAAGCCGAAGAACACCATCCCAACCGTGAAGAACGGGGGTGGCAGCATCATGCTGTGGGGGTGCTTTGCTGCAGGAGGGACTGGTGCACTTCACAAAATAGATGGCATCATGAGGAAGGAAAATTATGTGGATATATTGAAGCATCATCTCAAGACATCAGTCAGGAAGTTAAAGCCTGGTCGCAAATGGGTCTTCCAAATGGACAATGACCCCAAGCATACTTCCAAAGTTGTGGCAAAATGGCTTAAGAACAACAAAGTCAAGGTATTGGAGTGGCCATCACAAAGCCCTGACCTCAATCCTATAGAACATTTGTGGGCAGAACTGAAAAAGCATGTTTTTATTTATTTATTTATTTAACCTTTATTTAACCAGGTAAGCCAGTTGAGAACAAGTTCTCATTTACAACTGCGACCTGGCCAAGATAAAACAAAGCAGTGCGATTAAAAACAGCAACACAGAGTTATATGGGGTAAACAAAACATAAAGTCAAAAATACAACAGAAAATATATATACAGTGTGTGCGAATGTAGTAAGTTATGGAGGTAAGGCAATGAATAGGCCATAGTGCAAAATAGTTACAATTTCGTATTAACACTGGAATGATAGATGTGCAAGTAGAGATACTAGGGTGCAAATTAGCAAAATAAATAACAATATGGGGATGAGGTAGTTGGGTGGGCTAATTTCAGAATGGCTGTGTGGGAGCAAGGAGGCCTACAAACCTGACTCAGTTACACCAGCTCTGTCAGGAGGAATGGGCCAAAATTCTCCCAACTTATTGTGGGAAGCTTGTGGAAGGCTACCCGAAACGTTTGACCCAAGTTAAACAATTTAAAGGCCATGCTGCCAAATACTAATTGAGTGTATGTAAACTTCTGACCCACTGGGAATGTGATGCAAGAAATAAAAGCTTAAATAAATCATTCTCTACTATTATTCTGACATTTCACATTCTTAAAATAAAGTGGTGATCCTAACTGACCTAAAACAGGGCATTTCTTACTAGGATTAAATGTCAGGAATTGTGAAAAACTGAGTTTAAATGTATTTGCCTAAGGTGTATGTAAACTTCCGACTTCAACTGTATGTACTCAGGGATGGAAATTAAGCTAGCCCGCTAGCCCGAGGCTAGTACTTTTATAGACCAGGCTTGTAGAAACTGTGTTTACAAATATTGCATGGCACAGATTTTGGACCTGGGCTACTTAAAAATGTGGTCTACTAACTGGCTAGTGCCCAAAATCCTTAAGTTCCATCCCATAATGTACTGTTCTAGAGTTTGCACAGTTAGTTAGTCTGATGTGTGATGTCCTCAGTCTGATTTAATACACACAGTATCACTTCTATCTAATACCAGAGTCAGAGCGAATTTGTTTAAAAGCGTAATTTTCATGATTTAATGTGATTGTTCTCTCATTTTAATCACATTACATAATATTCTAACATGACATCTGAACTACATGTTCTTTGTGGTATTTATTAAATGTTTGCATTGTCCTGGTCTTGAGAGTGTAAGAGCACAGGGAAGGGTTAGGTTTGTCTATAGGGTTGAGGTCAGAGATCCCTGTAAATGTCATTGAACTCAACACACATGGCACTGACAATAAACATGGCGCGGCCAAATAGCCAGTTAGGGTTGCAACATAGCAGAACAGTCTATTTCTTTTTTGATAGACTGTCTGACAGCCATAATCAATTGATTTCTGAAGATAATTGATGGCATCCTTGTCTTTTGGTTTAAAGGAGGCTTAATGTTGTTTTAGGAATTAGTGTTGGAATGTAAATATTTGAAATGAATGTTACTATTGATGTTATCATTGATCACATCATTGTTTGGTATATTCAAGTTCACTCTCCCCAACAGAAGATTATATAGTAGGAGCCATATATGGTATACATACAGATGTAGGATCTTAATTTGAGCCAGTTTACTACAGCAGGAAAAGAATCCTGCAGCAACAGGAAATGTGAATTATTATGTGGATTATAATTCATGGACATTTTTGTAGGGGTTGATATATTTTTCGTAAGGGAAAATCAAGTCTGAAATTTCAATGTGGAAATTACAAACTTCAGAAGCCTATTTAAACCTCAAATACACTACATTAGTTATCCTGCAACGGTGTGATCAAATTAAGATTTTACATCTGTAATAGAGTAATAGATTAATGTTCTCACTAAAGGGAAAGGGTTAAAGTAAAGCAACAAATTTAAGCTGCATGTGGCCGTCAGAATTAAATATATTGTATGGCTTACAGCTGAGAAATGGTAACGTTGTCTCTTGATCTCTGTCTCTCTCCCTCTGTGCTTGACGCAATTTGACTAAAACCCATATAATCCTTCCAGATAATCTGTGAAATGGTTCTCTCCCTCTTCTCTCCTTCTCCCTTCACAACCCCTTGTGTCTACCTTTCTCTCCTCGTCCCTCTAAAGAACCTCTCATTAAACCATGGGCAGGCATTAGTGGGGTCAGAGCGAAGCCCACTCACATAAACTGTGTCATTAAGGATGTAGCACACCAGTAAATTCATCTTTTCATCACATTTTTTCCAAACAAATGCTTTTACTGCAGTGAAACGTATCATCTGTATTTTACCATGACGTTGGCTTTTATGGCCGACACAGACCAGTAGTTAAAGCTGTAGAAATATTACACTGTCTGAATGTTCCAGTGGATGACATTGGCTGGACAAGTGAGAACTATTCAGCACCCTCCATTATAGTGTTGTTTTGGGACAAAATGCCTGGCAATGTGTCATCATAAGGTATTATGTGGTTTGTTTACCAACTGTGTGTAGGATTTATCCACACAAAGATTGATTTTATAAATGACACATGGTGTCTGGTGCTGCAGAGAAAAGCCCATATGGTTCAGTAACTTTCCAACATCCAGTAACCCTCCTTTTGAATCTAATGATTGTCTCTTCTTAAAATTCAGCACATGCAGCCATTAACATCATGTAACATCTGTATCTTTCAGATCCCTCAGATTAGTTATGCGTCCACGGCTCCAGAGCTGAGTGACAAAAGCCGTTATGAGTTCTTCTCCCGTGTGGTCCCTCCTGACTCCTACCAGGCCCAGGCCATGGTGGACATCGTCAAGGCTATGGGGTGGAACTACGTATCTACACTGGCCTCAGAAGGAAACTACGGAGAGAGCGGCGTCGATGCCTTCCTCCAGATATCTCGAGAGGCAGGTTTGTACTGAATTTAGTGGTAAATTGACATTTTCTGATGTAGCCTAACTATGGCCACCATGGTGTTGCAGTTGATGGTACTGTATTGGGAGGATTTGATGTCCAATGGAGGAGCCACCTTGATGGTTTGGATCTTGTCTTTCTTCTCCCTTTATTCAGGAGGTCTATGCATCGCCCAATCCATCAAAATCCCTCGAGAGCCCAAACCAGGGGGCTTTGATAAGATCATCAAGAGACTAATGGAGACCTCTAATGCTCGTGGTGTCATCATCTTTGCCAATGAGGACGACATCAGGTGAGTGGTAACCTAGTAGTAACTTCTCCTTTCCTTTCCTTTCCCTAGGAACATTGTCATATAACCACCATGCTACTTGTTCTCTAAGCACTACAGTACCAAGTTCCTATAGACTCTAGAGCAAATAAAGGACCAGCGTGCTAATGCCTTACCACCACTTCTCACAGACGTGTCTTAGAGGCAGCAAAGAAGGCCAACCTGACGGGTCACTTCCTTTTTGTGGGCTCTGACAGCTGGGGGGCCAAGAGCTCTCCCATCCTGGACCAGGAGGATGTGGCTGAGGGGGCTGTCACCATCCTCCCCAAGAGGGCCTCCATTGACGGTAAGGAAAACATATGGAAAAGGTATTGCAGAGATACATTATATTTTGGTTTTCAGTATGACTATAACTTCAGTGGGTGATGGGGAAAGTCTGGGAAAGTCTTAAACATATGGTGATAATGATGCTCTGTTTGTCCTCTGTTGGTTCTTTGCCCAGGGTTCGACAACTACTTCACCTCGAGATCTCTGGAAAACAACAGAAGGAACATCTGGTTTGCTGAATACTGGGAGGACGACTTCAAATGTAAACTGACTCGACCAGGTATCAAGTACGACCTTGGTAGGAGAAAATGTACAGGTAAGAGAAGAGGTTATTTCTGACATATTTTAATTGTTTATATCTCACATAAGCAGATTTATTTATAGGCTACACTGGCTTTAACCATTGTATGCCACCCTTTATCCCTTCTTCAGGTGAAGAGAGAATCGCTCAGGAATCTCAGTACGAGCAGGAAGGGAAGGTACAGTTTGTGATCGACGCGGTGTATGTCATGGCCCATGCCTTACACAGCATGCACCTGGACCTCTGTCCGGCCTCCATGGGCGTCTGTGAGAAGATGGACCCGGTGGAAGGGAGTCAGCTGCTCCAATACATTCGCTCTGTCAACTTTAATGGTGAGTTGGAAATGTAGAGACCAGGGGTCATTAAAGGTCCAATGCAGCCGTTTTTATCGCAATATCAAATAATTTCTGGATAACAATTAAGTACAAAAATTGCTTCTTAGCAAAGGGCAATTTCTCAAGCACAAATTTAGCTAAGACTGTCTGGGAGTGGTTTAAGTTGTCTATTAACTAATATCCTGCATGATGATCTCACCATGGAAGGCCAAAACTCCATCCCACCAAAACAGGCAGACATTTCAGGCAGGCGGTAATTTCAAACAGCTCTTAGGGTCTTGAGGGATTCCATTGGAGCAGCAGTCAATCAGGTCTTGGAACATTCAATAGACTTTGTTTAAATCAAGTTTGAAAAAACATTTTCCATCCTGACTTTTCTTTTTTATTGTTGCTGTCAAATCAGAAAATACTCTTGATCATTTAAATGATACAAAGATTGGCTAGAAAGTGTATAGAGAAAATGCACAAACCAGTTGAATCAACGCTGTTTCAACATAATTTGTCAGCATATTGTGACGTGGAATCTACGTGGAAAATACATTTGATTTGAAAAAAGTAATCAACTGTTGTTTTGAGGGTGAAATTTCAACCACAGTATTGTGTCATCATGGTAACAAATTTTCAACATAGACAAACCTTGTATAAAATACACTACATGACCAAAAGTATGTGGACACTTGTTCGTCAAACATCTCATTCCAAAATCATGGGCATTAATATGGAGTTATCCCCCCTTTGCTGCTATAACAGCCTCCACTCTTCTGGGAAGGCTTTCTACTAGATGTTGGAACATTGGTTGCTGGTTATTTATAAAACCCTCTTAGGCCTCACTCACCCCTATCTGAGATAGCTACTGCAGCCCTCATCCTCCACATACAACACCCGTTCTGCCAGTCACATTCTGTTAAAGGTCCCCAAAGCACACACATCCTTGTGTTGCTCCTCTTTTCAGTTCGCTGGAGCTAGCGACTGGAACGAGCTGCAAAAAACACTCAAACTGGACAGTTTTATCTCCATCTCTTCATTCAAAGACTCAATCATGGACACTCTTACTGACACTTGTCTCTATCTTCTTGCCTTTGTGCTGTTCTCTGTGCCCAATAATGTTTGTAGCATGTTTTGTGCTGCTACCATGTTGTGCTGCTGCCATGTTGTGTTGCTACCATATTATTGTCATGTGGTGTTGCTACCATGTTGTGTTGTCATGTGTTGCTGCCATGCTATGTTGTTGTCTTAGGTCTCTCTTTATGTAGTGTTGTGGTGTCTCTCTTGTCATGATATGTGTTTTGTCCTATATTTTTATCTTTAATCCCAGTCCCCGTCACCGCAGGAGGCCTTTTGCCTTTTGGTAGGCTGTCATTGTAAATAAGAATTTGTTCTTAACTGACTTGCCTAGTTAAAAAAAGGTGAAATAAAAATTGCTGTGGGGACTTGTTTCCATTCAGCCACGAGCATTAGTGAGGTCGGGCACTGATGTTGGGTGATTAGGCCTGGCTCGCAGTCGGTGTTCCAATTCATCCCAAAGGTGTTCGATGGGGTTGAGGTCAGGGCTCTGTGCAGGCCAGTCAAGTTCTTCCACACCGATCTTGACAAACCATTTCTGTATGGACTTCGCTTTGTGCAGGGGGGCATTGTCGTACTGAAACAGGAAAGGGCCTTCCCCAAACTCTTGCCACAAAGTTGGAAGCACAGAATCATTTAGAATGTCATTGTATGCTGTAGCCTAGTCCGAACCATGAAAAACAGCCCCAGACCATTATTCCTCCTCCACCAAACTGGCACTATACACTGCGGCAGGTAGCGTTCTCCTGGCATCCGCCAAACCCAGATTCGTCCGTTGGACTGCCAGGTGGTGAAGCGTGATTCATCACTCCAGAGAACGCGTTTCCACTGCTCCAGAGTCCAATGGTGGCGAGCTTTACACCACTCCAGCCAACGCTTGGCATTCCGCATGGTGATCTTAGGCTTGTGTGCGGCTGCTCAGCCATGGAAACCCATTTCATGAAACTCGCGACGAACAGTTATTGTGCTGACGTTACTTTCAGAGGCAGTTTGGAACTCGGTAGGGAGTGTTGCAAGCGAGGACAGACGATTTGCGCTTCAGCACTCGGCGGTCCGGTTCTGTGAGCTTGTGTGGCCTACCACTTTGTGGCTGAGCTGTTGTTGCTCCTAGACGTTTCCACTTCACAATAACAGCACTTATCGAGGCAGCTCTAGCAGGGCAGAAATTTGACGAACTGACTTGTTGGAAAGGTGGAATTGTATGACGGTGCCATGTTGAAAGTCACTGAGCTCTTCAGTAAGGCCATTCTACTGCCAGTGGTGTAAAGTACTTAAGTCAAAAATACTTGAAAGTACTACTTAAGTCGTTTTTGGGGGTATCTGTACTTTACTTTACTATTTATATTTTTGACAACTTTTACTTCACTACATTCCTAAAGGAAATTATGTACTTTTTACTCCATACATTTTCCCTGACACCCAAAAGTACTCGTTACATTTTGAATGCTTAACAGGACAGGAAAATGGTCAAATGTACGTACTTATGAAGAGAACATCCCTACTGCCTCTTATCTGGCGTACTCACTAAACACAAATACTTAGTTTGTAAATTATATCTGAGTGTTGGAGTGTGCCCCTGGCTATCCGTAAATTTTAAAAACAAGAAAATGGTGCGGTCTCGGTTTGCTTAATATAAGGAATTTGAAATGATTTACAGGATACTTCTACTTTTACTTTTGATACCTAAGCATATTTTAGCAATTACATTTACTTTTGATACTTAGGTATATTTAAAACCAAATGCTTTTAGACTTTTACTCAAGTAGCATTTTACTGGGTGACTTTCACTTTTAATTCAGGCATTTTCTATTAAGGTATCTTTACTTTTACTCAAGTATGAACATTTTGTACTTTTTCCACCACTGTCTACTGACAATGTTTGTCTATGGAGATTGCATGGCTGTGTGCTCGGTTTTATACACCTGTCAGCAACGGGTGTGGCTGAAATAACCGAATCCACTAATTTGAAGGGGTGTCGACATACTTTTGTATATATAGTGCATGTTGAATTTGTACCTTTGAAACAACGTCAGTCCTCAACGTTATGTCCACGATCAGAGAAAAAACAATAGGCTGGGCAGCACCTTCTACTGGAGAGTTGATCTATCCATTTCGTCTCCCATCCAGCGTTTTAACCAAGCCCTGCTTACCTTTGATATTTGTCACTGACTACTACCAATGTGTTGTCGTGAGAATGAATATTGAGCGATCTCGTAATAACTAAATAGATTCACTGTTGCTATCGAAGTCATTTCACAGGGTACGTTTAACAGAGCAAATGTAATGTACGCCTAACCACACTTTATAAATCATATACTGTATAATCAATTACGCTATTTAGGCCTATATACATTTGTGAAGTCATCAACAGCTATTGTTTCAATTCAACCTAGAATTCAACTAAAAATAGACAATATATATAGGCCCTAAGGTTTCAAACTTTGGTTGATTTCAAATGTAATCTTCAAGTTAATAATTAATATGTTGGATTCACATCTCCATCTCAACCAAAAATCTAAGTTAAAGAATAAGACTAAATCAAATAAACTTTAAATGCACTTTAAATAATTTGATTTGATTTAGTCCTATTCTTTCACTTAGATTTTTGGTTGATATGGAGACATGAATCCGACAAGCTGGAACTAAAGCCAGACTAAATCCGTGGCACAAAAGATACATCTCCTTTAAATGTTGATATTTTGATGTGTAGACAACCAAACACAATTCAATATCACTTTTGCAATACAATAAATAGCCTATTAACTTGTCGACAAACAAATCATATGTTGGATTCACGTCTCCAACTAAACTCAAAAAATGAGTTAAAGAATAGGATTAAGCCAGTGGCTCAGATGGAACTGTCCAAGCATTAGATCCATCTCCTTTAAATTGTGATATTTGGTTGGGTTGTCAACCAAATACAATTCAATATGACTTTTATAATACAGTAAATAGCCTAAAGTTAAGGCTATCTTACAAACTAATGTAATAGTATTTATTCAACCTTAAAATGAGTAACACATCCATGGCTACATTTTGAGGTAACTGTAAGTATACATGTTTTCTTATGTAATCATAGAATGTGTGCATGTTGAAGATAGCATGCAAAGATCCCAGGTCTGTGGAGATCTTCACAATTGCTATATTAATCTGTGCAGAATCTTGAATGGCATTGATTACTTGCACTATGTACTTTTAATGTAATATGTAACATTTAATGTAACATTTAGTTGTGCTATTAGATAAAGCACAGTGATATAATACAAAATATCTGACATTGTATTCCCATTATAGACCTTTCTTGCAGTCAAATGACCAAATCGCCCTCTAGTGGCCTCATGGGTGGAATGTTTTCATAATTTCATAATTAATCAACATTATTTAAAAAAAACGCTGAAAATCCGGTGTTTCTATGTCAAACTGTTTTGTTATATTTTAGTGTTCTGTGATTTATATAACATGTAATATTGGGATTGACATGGTACAAGTGACTTATTTTTTGTAAGCCCATAACCATATGTGTGAGGTGTATACGTTTGTTTCAAAGTAGATTTGTTTAAGACTACCAAGAAACACTCTGTGTGACCCTGATTTAGCACACTGCAGTAAAAAAAATAACTTTGCTGTGCTTTTAAATGGTTGAAAGCGCAGTGATAACACGTTTAGATGACAACTAAACCAACATTCAGACATTGTTTTTCCATTGTAATTTGGTTGTGCTTTAAGATGGTTGAAAGCATAGTGATAACACATTGGGAATTCAACAACCTTCTGGCTGTCTTTCTCAGTGGGTGAATAAATGTTGAAATCTCATTGATCAACTTCTCAACCAAATATTACCCAAATTGCCACATTGAAATAACATGGTGTGCCCAGTGCGTGGTTTCATGAAGCCTTTTCCACTCCTGGTTCCCATCACGTCCCATGGGTTAAAGAGAGGAGTGTGGAGGGAGTTCAGTCTGAAGACAGCACTGCACTCTGCATTAGCCTTAGGATCTCTGCTAATGTACTAAGCCACAGTACACAGCACAGCCCTTCAATGCACTCTTCTTCCCCAGGGCTGCCTCTCTTCTTTCTTCATACACAAGACACACTCCTCTTTTTAGCTCCATCTTTCATAAAAAAAGTATTTTCTCTGTCACTGTTTGGAGTCCAAGGAGCTTTCTATGAAAGCATAGCTATTTCCTTTTCCCTCTTAGTGGATGACCTTTGTTTGTATAGAAAGCCCTCTCTGATTGAATGCCGGAACGGAACAGGCATGAACAAGCTATAGTGTTAAGGCAACAGACCAGAGAGTACAGAAATAATAGCATCATGTATGGAAAATAACCCTCAGCAGGAAGAATCTTATGCTCAGCTTTGCCCTGGTTGCATAAGACATGAGTCTTACACTTAACCCTAATTGCTCCTGTAAGTCGCTCTGGATAAGAGCGTCTGCTAAATGACCAAAAATAAAATAAATAAATAATAGGTTCACCTCCTCAATTGTTACATTTTTATTTGGTCAAAGGTAAAGGCATTGCACCAGGGAACACTACTGACCCTCTACAGTGCATACAATATACTGCCCAATACTGGGTAGCCCTGTTTAAAATCCTTGCTCCTCTATCCAAAAGGCAGTGCAGGGACTGGGGTCATGTTCAATGAGAATGGAGATGCTCCTGGTCGCTATGACATCTTCCAGTTCCAGCTCTCCAACACCACCAACCCTGGCTACCGGTGTATTGGCCAGTGGACAAACCATCTGCGACTCAATGTAAACATTTGTTTTGGCTTATTTCATTTAGCTACAGTAACTTCGGAAAGTATTCAGACCCCTTGACTTTTTTCACATTTTGTTAGGTTATAGCCTTATTCTAAAATTCATTAAATTGTTTTTTTTGCTCATCAATCTCCACACAATACCCCATAATGACAAAGCAAAAACAGGTTTCTGTAAATGTTTGCTAATTCATAAAAACACTGAAATATTACATTTACATAAGTATTCAGACCCTTTATTCAGTACTTTGTTGAAGCACCTTTGGCAGCGATTACAGCCTTGAGTCTTCTTGGGTATGATGCTACAAGCTTGACACACCTGTATTTGGGGAGTTTCTCCAATTCCAAACTGTCATGTTGGATGGGGAGCGTTGCTGCACAGCTATTTTCAGATCTCTCCAGAGATGTTCGATCGGGTTCAAGTCCAGGCTCTGGCTGGGCCACTCAAGGACATTCAGAGACTTGTCCCGAAGCCACTCCTGCGTTGTCTTGGCTGTGTGCTTAGGGTCGTTGTCCTTTTGGAAGGTGAACTTTACCCCAGTCTGAGGTCCTGAGCTTTGGAGCAGGTTTTCATCAAGGAAATCTCTGTACTTTGCTCCGTTCATCTTTGCCTCAATCTTGACTAGTCTCCCAGTCCCTGCCGCTGAAAAACATCCCCACAGCATGATGCTGCCACCACCATGCTTCACCGTAGGGATGGTGCCAGGTTTCTTCCAGACATGACGCTTGGCATTCAGGCCAAAGAGTTCAATCTTGGTTTCATCAGACCAGATCATCTTTTTTCTCATGATCTGAGAGTCTTTAGGTGCCTTTTGGTAAACTCCAAGCAGGCCACTCCACCATAAAGGCCTGATTGGTTGAATGCTGCAGAGATGGTTGTCCTTCTGGAATGTTCTCCCATCTCCACAGAGGAACTCTAGAGCTCTGTCAGAGTGACCATTAGGTTCTTGGTCACCTCCATGACCAAGGCCCTTCTCCCACGATTGCTCAGTTTGGCCGGGCAGCCAGCTCTAGGAAGAGTCTTGGTGGTTCCAAACTTCGTCCATTTAAGAATGATGGAGGCCACTGTGTTCTTGGGGAGTTTCAATGCTGCAGAAATGTTTTGGTACCCTTCCCCAGATCTGTGCCTTGACACAATCCTGTCTCGGAGCTCTACGGACAATTCCTTCGACCTCATGGCTTGGTTTTTGCTCTGACATGTACTGTCAACTGTGGGACCTTATATAAACAGGTGTGTGCCTTTCCAAATCATGTCCAATCAATTAAAATCACCACAGGTGGACTCCAATCAAGTTGTAGAAACATCTCAAGGATGATCAATGGAAACAGGATGCACCTGAGCTCAATTTCGAGTCTCATAGCAAACGGTCTGAATACTTATGTAAATAAGGTAGTTCTGTTTTTTATTTTTAATACATTTGCAAAACTTTATAAAAACCTGTTTTTGCTTTGTCATTATGGGGTATTGTGTGTAGATTGCTGAGGATTTGTTTTTAATTGAATCAATTTTAGAATAAGGCTGTAATGTAACAAAATGTGGAAAAAGTCAAGGGGTCTGAATACTTTCCGAAGGTACTGTATGTTGATGTTCACTTTATCAGTGTTGCTATCACTTGATGTTCTTCAGCATTGTTTCTGTCTCTGTCTCTGTTTCTGTCTCTGTTTCTGTGGAAGGTTGAGGAGATGCAGTGGTCGGGTGGGGACAGTGCAGTCCCTGACTCAGTGTGCAGTTTCCCCTGTGAGCTAGGAGAGAGGAAGAAGATGGTGAAGGGTGTGCCCTGCTGTTGGCACTGCGAGCTGTGTGATGGATATCAGTACCAGCTGGATGAGCTAAACTGTGACATGTGTCCCTTCGACATGCGTCCCATGTCAAACCGGACAGGCTGCCGGTCCACACCCATTATCAAGCTGGAGTGGAGCTCCCCCTGGGCCATCATCCCTGTGTTCCTGGCTGTCTTGGGCATCCTAGCCACCTCTGGATGCATCATCACCTTCATCCGCTTTAACGACTCCCCCATCGTCCGGGCCTCTGGCCGGGAGCTCAGCTACGTTCTCCTGACAGGCATCTTCCTCATCTACCTCATCACCTTCCTCATGATCGCAGAGCCCAGCGCCCCAGTGTGTGCATTCCGCAGGCTGCTGCTGGGCCTGGGCATGTGTATTACCTACTCAGCTATGCTCACCAAGACCAACCGCATTTACCGTATCTTTGAGCAGGGCAAGAAAGCAGTCACGCCACCTCCGTTCATCAGCCCTGCTTCTCAGCTGATCATCACCTTTATACTCATTGGAGTGCAGGTGAGTGGGTTTCTGCCTCTCTCCTACTGCATGTGTTGAAAACGAGGCAGTAATACAACAGTGTTTTGTTAAAGACACAGGAAATGGTGTCTGGAATGGTATACAGTAGAATTAGCTCGAACTGCTGAACCATGGGCCACATCAATCTTTTTCTAATTCTCTGTATATTCATAGTTACTTGGAGTTTTCATCTGGTTCGGAGTGGTGCCCCCACACACCATCATAGACTATGAGGAGCAGCGCCCGCCCAACCCAGAGTTTGCACGTGGGGTCCTGAAATGTGACATGTCCGACCTGGCCCTTGTCCTCTGCTTGAGCTACAGTATCGTGCTGATGGTGACCTGCACTGTGTACGCCATCAAGAGCAGAGGGGTGCCGGAGACCTTCAATGAGGCCAAACCCATTGGCTTCACCATGTACACCACCTGCATTGTGTGGCTGGCCTTTGTGCCCATCTTCTTTGGCACAGCCCAGTCTACTGAGAAGGTTTGAAATTCAATGTTATATTTATATAATTGCTGGTATTTAAACTTCATTTTTGATGTTAAAAAAAACAACAACCTAGAAATATGTTTTCTACAATAAGTTCTAGAGGTAACTTCTCTATTGAAGAACTGTCAACACTGTTATCAAATGCTAGTTTGTTACCTGTCATATCAGATTTTTTCCATGAGGCACTCACAGTATGTTCAGCATCCTCTTCATTGAATGACAGATGCCAATTTAGCTTGTGGCTTATTTCTATGCTTACAAAGCAGTGGAACAATGGTCAGGATTTAAAAGATGGAAGTATATTCAGACTAGTAGGGTGTGTTATTAAGAGGCAGTCAACCTGAAATGATCCAACCCCCAGGTGATTTAAAAGTATTTTACCCTCCGCAAATGGAAATGAAATTAATAAAAGAGGGGGGAACTCAGAAATGAGGTCAGATGAGCTCAGGGACAAAATGGGTCTCTGAGAGACAAGAAATACCCTGTACATGCTATTCAATTACACAGTTACTCATAGCTTAGAACGTCTAAATATAGCATCAATAACATTTAGTTGTCAGATCGCATTAGTTGGAGACAGTATTATAGCAGTACAATAACAATGAAGCAATGTTATTAGATAGGAATGCAGGGGTATTGATGCAACAGATTTTGAGAGGTACTCAGAAAAGTGTCAACAATTGCAGGCTGATCAATAGGGAAGTGAGAATGGAAGGTGTTAGATTCTGGAGAGCACGGCAAACTTAGGGTTGGCTATGTTTTTACATTTTCTACTGACTTGCTTCAATGTGTGTTGTTTTGGTGTGGATGGTTGACTTGATTGCTGATGCACATGATAAGAAAAGATACCTCTCTGGTCTGGATTGCCTTTGGGTCTCATTAGAACTGCTCTTTGTCATATTTCAATGCCACTTAGTTGCTGAGCCATACTGTACCTAGCACTAGCCTGGGGTCAGTGATGTCTTTAATATGAACAAATTTGAACGGTGCTCCCTGGTCATCCATGCGTTGCCACATCAGTGCTGGCCAGGTTATTGAGAGCCAATAAAAACCATGACAAAGAAGAGGACAGAGAATATAGAAATAAAAAGAAAAGTGGGTTATCCCCTCAGGATATTGTGCCATGTAGCTATTTCTTAATTCATGAGGTGTATTGCTTTTGAATTGTTAGTGCATCGGACTCAGACCACAAGTCTGTTCTCATTCTTGTTGTTGCCAGACTGACAACAGAGGAACACCAAGATGAATAGGCAAAAGGCCCATGAATAGAGCACCACTCCTCAGTGTTTATAGTTACTGGGTTATAAATAATTCATCCTAGGCTAAAAACACACCCGTCTCCTGAACATTCAGATGAAGAAACAACGTCTGTATGCTGTGTACCTCTGAGATTTCACATTATATAGCTTCTTCTTACATCTTATATTAGTTAGCCATAATAAAGGTGTCATGGGGATTGCCATGGAAAATGGAATGTACAAGTTTACTGTATTCTCAGTATATCCTCAGAATACTATATACTCATTCTCAGGTTATTCTCTGATTTAATATAATGAATTATAGGCATAGGATAGATTTATTTTAAAGAAAATTAATATTTTGAGTTGTGAATGCAACACATGCAATTCACATAGTACCCAGCCAGGCAATCCAAACCCTATTGTAAAATGTATAGGTTTATACTGAGGTATTTATTGTTAACTTTCACCCTGCCTTCTATCTGCTCTAGATGTTCATCCAGACCACCACCCTGACGGTGTCCATGAGCCTGAGTGCCACTGTGTCCCTGGGCATGTTGTACATCCCTAAGGTCTATGTCATCATCTTCCACCCAGAGCAGAATGTGCAGAAACGCAAGCGCAGCTTCAAGGCTGTGGCTTCCGCAGTGACCACACAACTCTCCCAGAAAGAAGACAAGCAGAACGGAGAGTCCAAAAGTAGCGCCATAGTCCCTGACAGGTCACAGTGAGTAAAGCTGAGATGGTGTCCAGTCTGAACTCTTAGAAAAAAGGTAGAACCCTTGGAACCCAAAAGGGTTCTACCTGGAACCGAAAGGGTTCCACCTGGAACCAAAAAGGTTAACTACCTGTCACCAATAATGGTTTTCCAATGGGGACAACCGAATAACTTTTTTCTAAGAGTATGTCCACTGATCCTTCACTTGTGTTACTGTATGTATTCACAATGACATAGAAACAGATTAGTGTTCATTTATCACTAAGACAATAGTAATTGTCTCTCTCTTCAATCACTTTAGATAACCCAGCAGGAAACCAGAGATGAATACGACACCTGGCGCCTAACAGATGACAGCTTAGCATGGTCTCTCTTGGCAAAGCACAGCTTTTGATCAATGGTGAAGGCTACAATGTCACATGGGTGGGACGGCAATACAATAAAAAGGATGCTAACTTTTCTGTCATTCTAAATAAACACTGACTGACTTGCAACAAGTGCTGTGACCTGACTGTAAGTGGAACAGTTGATGCATTGGATCATCCTCCTGGATCATCCTGATTCCTGAACAGAACACAATGAACATTGTAGACAGCTTTGCCAGATTTCAGGACACAGTGTCTCCTTTTACAGTAGGATATCTCAAATCGACCATGGCAATGAATTGGTCTTCTTTGATTTCTCTCCTCAGGACAATTATTTGGATCAATAGTTGATAAAATGATAAACCTTTTCCCGACTGGTTGATCCAAAGTAGGATCTTTAGAATACAATGAAGCTTTGCTTGCTTGATTTATCAGCACTGCATGGGTTGTGTGTTTGTGTGTACATTATATGTATGTTTCCATAGTATTGTGTGTGTGAGTGTTACGACTTTGACTCGTTCTTTTTTACTGATTACACTGGAAGGAACTAGCTTTTCTATACACCACTAAATCCTGGAATAAGTGTAGGGTTCTTGGAGGACATACTGTTAAAGAGAGAAACAATTGTAGGGAATTCTGATTACTGACATCAATACTACCAGATCAAACCTCATGTAAGGGACTATTTTAATATTATAACATCTACAGGAAATGATTTGGTTCAGTTTGGTGTTAATTGCTTTAGCAGTAATGACTTGTATATGCTGCTGCAGTCTCTCTGAACAGGAAACCAGTGATTCTGAACAGGATATTGTGTTATGTAAGGCACCTGAATCACAACAATGTATGGTAGACACTACACAACAATGTATGGCATTTCCCTAGATTGTTCCAAATCTCTTTACAGTGCTGCTGGGGTTGCAATTGTGAGAACAGTTTATGGTAACACTAGATTTCACTGAGAATATCACTGGGAATATAATTTGTGTTTCCAATGCTGGTTTCAGCATCAATGACTACTTTTGTTTGTCAATATTGTGCCATAAAATCACAGGTTTGTGGTATCAAAATGTATGGAAATGTTACAAGTTTCCCTTAATTTAAATTATATAGTAGTGATTTTATTTTATATAAACCTATTTGTAAATGAATATTGTGGCACCATAATGGTCCACAAAATCACACTAGCCCAGTTAAGGTCACATTCCTAGCAGTCCTAGATCACAGAACGCATGCGTGTAGCATTCACTCTGTGCTGAGGGGTACTGCGTTTCTATCTTGTGAGTTCTAACGCCATGCAGTGGTGGTGGTTCAGTTGGCAACATTAAGTTATTGGCAGTAAGATTATTATTTTTTGCTCAGGTTTTCAGGGAGAAAGCTGTTTGAAAAAAATTCAAATAATTGTTATTTAGATAGGTATTTATTTATTTTAAAATACTGTTATATATATAGGCCCACGTGGCGCAGTGGTCTAAGGCACTGCATTGCAGTGACCGGGAGTCCCATAGGGCGGCGCACAATTGGCCCAGCGTCGTTCGGGTTACGGGGGCTTTACTTGGCTCATCGCACGCTCTAGCGACTCCTTGTGGCGGGACGGGCGCCTGCAGGCTGACTGGTCGTCCGTTGAACCGTGTTTCCTCTGACATTGGTGCGGCTGGCTTCCGGGTTAAGCAGGTGGGTGTTAAGAAGCGCGGTTTGGCGGGTCATGTTTCGGAGGACGAATGACTCGACCTTCGCCAGTTGGGGAGTTGCACCGATGAGACAAGATCACAATTGGATATCACCAAATTGGGGAGAAAAAGGGGGTAAAATAAAATACTTACTGTTATATACAAAAATATGAATAATCACAACCCCATTTGATAAAACCCAATAGTACATACAGTACCCCACAATTCCACCCAGGTATTGTACTTCTACAGCTGTAGCTTTCTTCCTTTGAGTGAGGCTGCCATCATGCTGACATTGCCCCTTTCTGGAGATTGATTAAACCTGTACAGTAAAACAGAACTGTACTGGGTAAGCTAACCATTCTGTAGTGTGGAGACTAGAGTGTGTGGAGATGTCTCCACTACAGTATCATAGTGAGATGCATTTGGCAGTAAACCCTTATCCAGGTCTGTGTAGAATGGAGAAACAGAAAACGTTTTAAACACACCACACTCAACAGTTTTTATGAAAATAACGATAGTTTATTATTTCACAAACAAGAGATCTTACGCATTAATCACAAGTAAAAGTATGCATCTAAAAGAAAAATAGCACTTGAAACAAGAGAATGATGTTCTGGGGAAGTGAGAAACAACTTCTAAATATCCAATACAATTCTGTATTACAATATTCAGACAGTGTAAGTAAAACAAGAAATGTTCAAGTGCGAAAGATAGATAAAACATTGATTTGTGTAATGTGCAACCGAGTCAAATGCCTGACTTTTCACAGATGCTAGTAATGATATAATGCAGGAAAGTCCCCCTTGTTTCAGTCAGCAGATAACGCTTCCTCACACTCAAAATCATAAATTAGAAAAAAAACAAAATGTCTCAACATAAAATTACTTAACACAGACAGGGGGTTTCATGATGAGCCAAATGAAGTCTCAATACACCAAAACAAATATTTTCATCAAACTAGCAGCTATGCCCATTCATGCCCAAAGCTTGGAGCAGGCCCTCAAGTAAGAGGTCCAAGTTATTTTTACCTGACCGGTAAACCTATTCAGGTTGCTCCTCTCTATTGCTCCAGACGGGCTGGTCGCTAGTGTCAGAGGTCCAGCTGACACACATGCATCAGTAAGGGATGGACAGGTCACTCCAGAAAACTGTTAAGAGTAAGGCAGGTGGAGATCTTGGGAGAGGAGCTGGTCGGGATTTTTTTCTCCTCTTGGCCTTCATCATGAGCGGGCGAATCTCTGACAAAGGAGACTGGTGTGGGGGGCTGAATTAAGGAAAATGGCATTCCATAACAAATGGCATTCACCTGTACCTCCTTCCTATGAGATTAGTTACAGCAATGTATAACAAACATAACTGTCAATAGACATCATAGAGGATATAATACACAGTCACAATACGTACTTCAACACCCATGTCAATGAAAAATACCTGTCAGTACATCTGAATTGTATGGTTTAAGAAAAGGATACAGGCTGGAAGAATTTGGTCCTTCCCGCAAGTCCACCGTAACCACTTCTGACCTGGAATATGAGATAGTGATACATTTAGTAATATCGCTGTCAGGAACAAGACAGGAAGGCAAGGGCAATAAGTGGGTCTGGTTTTGGAAGTCTTTAGGTGGAGTGCACTGTACTTGACTACTGTAATTGAGGGTTTGAACATGTGTAACAGGCCCATAGTAAGAAAGAGACCAGAATCTCCATACAGTAACTGTAGTGTTGTGATGGAAAGACAATAGTCAGGGTAAAGCTACAGCTCCCAGTTTACTCCTCTGGGGGTCCAGCATGCTGCCGAAGGTCTTCTTCCTGAACAGGTTGGCGTTACGGAAGAAGGTATCCATGGACGCCGCCTCCTCTCTGACCTGAGATCATTCACAAACACAGAAGCTTATAGCATGCACACTAATGTACAACACATCTAGCTCTAAAATGTAACATTACATTAGTAATTTAGCAAATGATCCTATCCAGAGAAAAGTCTGTTCATGTGGCGCATGTGTTAAGTGAACCCTTGGAAGTGGTAAAATACCTTGCTTCCAAACAAGGCTTTGTAATGGTGTTTGGTCGGCGAGGACGACAACCTGAGAAACAAAGAACATAAGATAATTATGATCAATACTTAATCAGAACTGTTTATTAACAAATAAGTGTCAGTAGCATATGTCCCTCGTCAATGACACAATGTAGAGGGAGACTCAAGCGGCTGGGTCCAGAGGCATCTTCTTGATGGGACCTGTGACAACCTCTTATCCACCGGGTCAGGGGTGGTGATGTCAAAGGTCATGTTGAGGCCAATGTCCTCACTGTCGGCAGGCTGGTGGAGACAGGGCTGTTTCAGCTCCACTGGGGCAGGGCTGAAAGACAAGGGGGAAAATAACTCATCAGTGACTGACACCAGATCTACCAAGAAGGTTTCAGAAAGTAACGCATTCAGAAAGTATTCAGACCCCTTGACTTTTTCCACATTTTGTTATGTTACAGCCTTATTCTAAAATTGATTAAATTGTTTTCCCCCCTCAATCTACACACAATACCCCATAATGACAAAGCAAAAACAGGTTTAGAAATGTTTGCAAATGTATTACAAATAAAAAACTGAAATAATACATTTACATAAGTGTTCAGACCCTTTACTCAGTACCTTGTTGAAGCACCTTAGGCAGCGATCACAGCCTCGAGTCTTCTTGGGTATGACGCTACAAGCTTGGCACACCTGTATTTGGGGAGTTTCTCCCATTCTTCTCTGCAGATCCTCTCAAGCTCTGTCAAGTTGGATGGGGAGTGTCGCTGCACAGCTATTTTCAGGTCTCTACAGAGATGTTCGATCGGGTTCAAGTCCGGGCTCTGGCTGGGCCACTCAAGGACTTGTCCCGAAGCCACTTCTGCGTTGTCTTGGCTGTGTGCTTAGTGTCGTTGTCCTGTTGGAAGGTGAACCTTCGCCGCAGTCTGAGGTCCTGAGCGCTGTGGAGCAGGTTTTCAACAAGGATCTCTCTGTACTTTGCTCCATTCATCTTTCTCTCGATCCTGACTAGTCTCCCAGTCCCTGCCGCTGAAAAACATCCCCACAGCATGATGCTGTCACCACCATGCTTCACCGTAGGGATGGTGCCAGGTTTCCTCCAGACGTGACGCTTGGCATTCAGGCCAAAGAGTTAAATATTGGTTTCATCAGACCAGAGAATCTTGTTTCTCATGGTCTGAGAGTCCTTTAGGTGCCTTTTGGCAAACCAAGCGGGCTGTCATGTGCCTTTTACTGAGGAGTGGCTTCTCTACCATAAAATGCCTGATTGGTGGAATGCTGCAGATGGTTGTCCTTCTGGAAGGGTCTCCCATCTCCACAGAGGAACTCTGAAGCTCTGTCAGAGTGACCATCGGGTTCTTGGTCACCTCCCTGACCAAGGCCCTTCTCCCCTGATTGCTCAGTTTGGCCGGGCAGCCAGCTCTAGTAAGAGTCTTGGTGGTTCCAAACTTCTTCCATTTAAGAATGATGGAGGCTACTGTGTTGTTATGGACATTCAATGCTGCAGAAATGTTTTGGTACCCTTCCCCAGATCTGTATCTTGACACAATCCTGTCTCGGAGCTCTACGGACAATTCCTTCAACCTCATGGCTTGGTTTTTGCTCTGACGTGCACTGTCAACTGTGGGACCTTATATAAACAGGTGTGTGTCTTTCCAAATCATGTCCAATCAATTGAATTTACCACAGGTGGACTCCAATCAAGTTGTAGAAACATCTCAAGGATGATCAATGGAATCAGGATGCACCGGAGCTCAATTTCGAGTCTCATAGCAAACGGTCTGAATACTTATGTAAATAAGGTATTTTTCCATTTTTTATACATTTGCAATAATTTAAAAAATTAACTGTTTTCACTTTGTCATTATGGGGTATTGTGTGTAGATTGATGAGCAACATTTTTTATTTAATCAATTTTAGAATAAGGCTGTAATGTAACAAAATGTGGAAAAAGTCAAGGGGTCTGAATACTTTCCGAATGCACTGTATACTAAGTAACATGTGTTGTGCAGAGAATCGATTGGTGAAGTGACAAACCCCCCAAAAGACTAGTCTGCTCAAGGATTTGTTAGGTCTTTTGAAGAATCTCAAATTTTTTATTAAAAACACAAATTAGTGAGTAGTAAATTAAATTCGTATTTTTATTATACAAATGAAACATAGCTTTGCAATTTGTATAGTGCTTATAATTTCAAGAATGGGGGTTTCTTACGGTGATCTCTGTCTGCGTTGGTCAAGTCATTTTGGACAGCTTTCATGTCATCCTTGGTCCTGTTCATCTCCATTGTGGCTTTATGTAACTACAGAGCTATGAGAGACAGTCAGTCTGAAATTGGAAGGAGAGACACATCCGACATTATCACAGAACATTTCAATTAATGTGATTTGTTTACATCCATTACCTTGTTGTTTGAAGCAAACACCTCCCTTTTGATTTTTTCACATTTCGTTTGAAGATCTGAGGCTCCCATTTAGGTTGTCATACTCTCTGCAAACGATAATAGGATTACTTGATACAAATACTTCCAAAACAGTGATGCCCCTGACAATGTATAGTGCAACAGTAACACACAGCAGCTATGAGTTTGATGTTCCTTACTTCTTGAGAGAAATGCAGTAGATTGAAAGCTGCTCCACGGCAGCCTGGCCAACACCCATATCATGGACTCGACCTCAGCTCTCTGATCCTGCAACACCACATCCAGACTGGGAAGGACAAGGCCACACACTCACACACACACACACACACACACAAGGACAAGGCCACACACACACACACACACTAGTAAAATATACAAGCCAGCAAAGTATGGTTAAGGTCGGCACGATAGCGTGCTAATTATTATTGCGTGAGTGTGTGTCTGAGGGCTACCTCTCATGTTTCATTTTCGTCTGGAGTCATCGGCCTCCTCCTTGGCAGCCTGGGTAAAAATAAAACTACATGTTAGAGACATGTCAGGTAGATAGGAGCATGTAAATACATGTGTCTTTGTGTTTGAAAACTTGGCACCTACCCTGAGAGCTGAGCAGAGCATCTCTTTCTCACCAATCTCCTTCCTCACAATGTCCAGGTCTTTCTTCTGCCCGTCTACAGTCTCCTTCAAGCGTTCTACCATCTTCAGTCTGTCCCTTCAGTCTCTCTCTGAGGATAAAAATAAAAGTCAATGTTTCAGCAGTACAAAATGCAAAATAGTTACACCATCATAATGACACATCGTCTATCAAAGCAAGCATCAGTTTTGTTCACTCGCGTCTTACCTTTGGTACTTAAAACAGCTTTCATTCTATTGAGCTCATTCTGCAGAAGAAATGAACGAAACACTGAATAAACGACAAATCATACAATAATATGAACCCCAATCCACATGCCGTAAATATAGTGTTTCCTCCTTGTGTAGGCCTACCTGCAAACTCTCTGGGTCAGCAGAGGATCCCTCTTCTTCACCACTAATGTCAAAGAACAACTTGTTGATAATGTGTCTGGTGCTAACCTGAGGGGAGAGTCCGGACATAAAGAGAAACATGCAGAAGAAGTATTTGTAGAGTCATTTTGAGTGGAATGGGATTGATGTAATGCATGCAGAATGAATCACCAGTGTTCAGAAGGGGACACCAGTATAGCAAGTCCTACCTGTTTTCTACATTGTGGACAGTTCTTGTTGGGAGCAGTCTGAAACCAATGAAGAAGACTGTAAGCAGAAGGGGTAAAAACAACTGTCATTTAACAACAGCTAGACAACTACATTTACCTAGAGCCACAATTACTAGCGGGCCATAATATTTCCTACATGTTGACTGATTCCTCTGACTGCCATTGGTAACTCACCATTCATAGTGGAAGGTGTGTCCACAATGGATGGCTGCCACATCTCTTGAGTGATCGAAGAAATCGGAACAGATGGTGTAGTAGGCACGAATAGGCATTTTTGACGACCACCCTGTCAAGAAAAAAGCAATTAATCATGTTTGTGTTCAACATGGTCATCTTAGCTGGTTCTCTTGCTAGCTAACTTTTGTATTATTGCCAATGGTTATCAAACGTTACAGTAAACAATTAACTCATGTTAGCTAACTAGCTAGCTGTTATCTCATTGTCACCTACTCTACAGCAGGGGGTGTTGCATACATTCGCCCGTACTTACCTAAAAGCTATTGTGTATATGTTAAATTAATACTTATATTATTCATTTCAGCTCTCATAAATGTAAAAATTCCCCTGCATTGGTTGTTTACAGCTAGTTAGCTATCGCACATACAACACTCGCGCCGCACAGTTTGAAGGTAAAAGTATCCGCCCCTTGTGTGTACCTAATCATCAAAGGGGTACGTTCAGATATCTTTCTTTCTGTTTTCTTTGTCTGAGCTAGACCATCGCATACGTTCTAACTCGAGATATTGTTAACCACCACAAAACTAGCGAGTTTGGCACACTGAAAATTGTAATCCATCAGTAAATGTGGTCCTCTGTAGCTCAATTGGTAGAGCATGGCGCTTGTAACGCCAGGGTAGTGAGTTCGATCCCCGGGACCACCCATTCGTAAGAATGTATGCACACATGACTGTAAGTCTTTTTGGATAAAAGCGTCTGCTAAATGGCATATTATATTATATTACAAAATATGAACGAATCTACGCAGCATCAAGGGTTTTAAAACGAGGCTTTTAAAGTGAAAATAGACGCATTCGGGAACGTACCCAATACACTCAAAATAGGGAGAAAATACTTCATTCCCCATAATTCAATGATAGAGGAACTGTACTTCCGTGACCTCTGTCAGGAGATGCGCGCCCGCTAGAGGGGGTATTCTTTTACACTCAAGGAGTGAAACAACGGTTTACGATAACGTTACAACATTTAACATGCATTTTAATTCTACTCGAAGAAATGAAAGGTAGCTATGATTTGAGAATAATTTGTGTACACGCAGGAAAATGCTTTAGCTTCCTAGCTAGCTAACTATCCTATTTAGCTGCAGAACTAGCTAGCTACGCTATCAAACTAGCTAGTTAATAAACGTGCTAGCTAGCTAAAGTTGTCGACGGTTGTACCAGTCATCTTACCCTCTCATCTTTAACATGACATGTATACATAGTCACAGAAACACAGTCAGTGTACTCAACTTGGAGTCAGGGTGCACAACACGAGAGCCTGATGCGCATACTGAAACTCACTGTTTTGTAAACATGTTGACCTTTGCCCCTTTTGAGATGTTGACAGACTTGGTATCTACTATCCTGTGTTACAGGTGGTTGTCCCTGTAGTAACTTATGCAGCAGTGATGGCTGTAGACGTCCACAACAAGGGTGTACCGTGGGAGGTCCAGCAGAATGGCACCCTGGCACCAGTGGACCGTCTCCGCAATGAGAGGTCTGAAAGCCCCATGCCAGGCCTGGTGGAGGGCACAGAACCAGGTGGGCATGGCTACTCAAATAATGGCATCACTTTCCAGTGACCGATATCCACTTGTAGCCTACTTACTGTAGATGTCATGTTACTACAGACCAGCTCCCCTGTCTGAATTACACATCCAGTCATAGTTCTGAACAATGCAACTTTATGGTGACAGAAAATGTATATTTATCTAATTGAAATATGTGTCCACTTGAACAGAGGGTAAATAGGCTGCTTATGATATTGCACTTGGCCAACTATGGACCTAAAAATAATTATTATTATTTTCATTGGAAATAGTTTCAAATAAATACTTTACAATCCACATTCACTATTGATTGGGCTAACAGCTCTTGTTTCACGAGAGAGACCGCAGCATGAAATAACTGTTGAATCTACCATTTACTCAATTTCATCATGTGACGTTTTCCAAGAAACCGCTTTGACACATTTTGAACCATGCTACCTCTGTGACCAAACCGCCAGTGTGTTGGCTGGATAAGAGGGAGTAGGAATGTCGCTGCACAAGAGCTCACATGTATCCTTTCTCATCCACATACCTTGCTTCCTGGATTTAGAATAAGTGGTCTTTGAAATAAGTGGTAGGCTTTGCTTGTCTTATTTGTTCTGTTTCAGACTATGAGAGTATGTTGGATTATGATTGATATGGCACATTTTTTTATTTGCCTTCTCTGAAAGTCATGATACAGATTTGTTTTAGGGAAGGAAATACAGTAGCCTATTCATCAGGAGTGATTAATGCTGCTGGCTCTGCTGATAAAAACATTAGCATTACTGAGAAAATAGGACTCAATTAGAACTGGTAGGCTTTTGTTGGCTTGCACCACCAGTGTTGAATCTCTGTCTTTTTTGGTTTATGACTTTCAACTTTCTTTTAAAACAGGGGTTCTCAAACTTTTTGGGTCTGGAGACCCCTTTTGTGATAGCAAATTCTTCAGGGATCCCCTTAATAATAATATGCCATTTAGCAGACGCTTTTATCCAAAGCGACATGCAGTCATGTGCGCATACATTTTTACGTATGGGTGGTCCCGGGGATCGAACCCACTACCCTGGCGTTACAAGCGCCATGCTCTACCAATTGAGCTACAGAGGACCCTTGTAATCAGAACACAACTCGAGTGGGATAAAAATGGCATACAATGAGTTTTGTTTGACCAATACTTTGGCAGTGCATGGCCAATGAACCAATTAAGTCTTATGCCCTGGAAAGGAACTTTTTAAAGGCCCGCCTCTTGGCATCGACATAATTTCCTGTCCTAGAGATGAAATGCATCTTGAGTTTTTTTTTTTACTACACCGTATTCAAAAGATTTGCCAGTTGGCTCTATGGCTGGTTCTGGAGCTGGATTTGTGATAAGGAACAACTTTGCCACAGATGGAAACAACTGGCCTATCTTTGACTTTGCCATCTATTGTTATCTCCAAAGTTTTGGCGTCTTCCATAAATTGCGGCCGCGAATCCGCCTTAGAAATAGTTAGAAAAAATAAGATGAAGCTCCGGTAATATGGATAACTATTGAAAGATTGTTTGCCGGCCCTATTTTAATTTGCTCCATGGCTCAAGCGGCCAGGTGGACACAAGGCTATTTGGCTCATCTCAGTCATTAAGAGGAATAACTTTGGAAAAATAAAAACACCGTATTCACAAGGATTTGCATGAAGTAGGCAGTTTGGATTTGTCACTTCAAGCCAAATATGTCATACTTTGACTAAAACGATGACTTATCGACACGCAACATTTACATTTTAGTCATTTAGCAGACGCTCTTATCCAGAGCGACTTACAGTTAGTGAATACATATATATATTTTTTTATACTGGCCCCCCGTGGGAATCAAACACAACCCTGGCATTGCAAACGCCATGCTCTATCAACTGAGCTACATCCCTGCCGGCCATTCCCTCCCCTACCCTGGACAAATTGTGCGCCGCCCTTGAGTCTCCCGGTCGCGGCTGGCTGCGACAGAGCCTGGATTCGAACCAGGATCTCTAGTGACACAGTTAGCACTGCGATGCAGTGCCTTAGACCACTGCGCCACTCAGGAGCACAACATATTGGGTAAGCACTGGCCATTGTCTTTAAGTTCGAAAAAGTGGATTTCTACTGATGTGGGCATTTAACAGTGGGACAATCATTTTTTAAATCCAACTTTATTTATATAGCACATTTTAGACACGGATGCAACGCAATGCACTTTACAGAAAAATGAATAAAAACAATAAAAAGAGAACGAGACAGACAATCTTGTCACGCCCTGGCTCTGGGGACTCTAATATGTTGAGCCAGGGTGTGTAAAGTATATGTGTTTTGTTCTAGGTTTCACATTCTAGTATTGTTTGTCTATGTTGGCCAGTGTGGTTCTCAATCAGAGGCAACGTGATTCAGCTGTTGCTTGTTGTCTCTGATTGAGAACCATACTTTAGCAGCCTGTTTCCCCACAGAGTTTGTGGGATCTTGTTTCTAGTCTGTTGTGTTAGACCGTGAACTGTCACGTTATCGTTTTTGTTGTTTTTTGATCGTGTCTCTAATAAAGAGTATGTTTGCCTGCAACGCTGCGCCTTGGTCCTCATCTCTGTTAGACGATCGTGACAAATCTGTAGATAACAGCCATGGGAGTTCAAACAGGAAAAGCAGAGAACAAGTGAGGACTGTACAGTCGTGGTCAAAAGTTTTGGGAATGACACAAGTATTGGTCTTCACAAAGTTTGCTGCTTCAGTGTTTTTAGATATTTTTGTCAGATGTTACTATGGTATACCGAAGTATAATTACAAGCATTCCATAAGTGTCAAAGGCTTTTATTGACAATTACATTAAGTTTATGCAAAGAGTCAATATTTGCAGTGTTGACCCTTCTTTTTCAAGACCTCTGCAATCCGCCCTGGCATGCTGTCAATTAACTTCTGGGCCACATCCTGACTGATGGCAGCCCATTCTTGCATAATCAATGCTTGGAGTTTGTCAGAATTTGTGGGTTTTTGTTTGTCCACCTGTCTCTTGAGGATTAACCACAAGTTCTCAATGGGATTAAGGTCTGGGGAGTTTCCTGGCCATGGACCCAAAAATTCGATGTTTTGTTCCCCGAGCCACTTAGTTATCACTTTTGCCTTATGGCAAGGTGCTCCATCATGCTGGAAAAGGCATTGTTCGTCACCAAACTGTTCTTGGATGGTTGGGAGAAGTTGCTCTCGGAGGATGTGTTGGTACCATTCTTTATTCATGGCTGTGTTCTTAGGCAAAATTGAGAGTGAGCCCACTCCCTTGGCAGAGAAGCAACCCCACACATGAATGGTCTCAGGATGCTTTACTGTTGGCATGACGCAGGACTGATGGTAGCGCTCACCTTGTCTTCTCCGGACAAGGTTTTTTTCCGGATGCCCCAAACAATCGGAAAGGGGATTCATCAGAGAAAATGACTTTACCCCAGTCCTCAGCAGTCCAATCCCTGTACCTTTTGCAGAATATCAGTCTGTCCCTGATATTTTTCCTGGAGAGAAGTGGCTTCCTCGCTGCCCTTCTTAACACCAGGCCATCCTCCAAAAGTCTTCGCCTCACTGTGCGTGCAGATGCACTCACACCTGCCTGCTGCCATTCCTGAGCAAGCTCTGCACTGGTGGTGCCCGATCCCGCAGCTGAATCAACTTTAGGAGACGGTCCTGGCGCTTGCTGGACTTTCTTGGGTGCCCTGAAGCATTCTTCAGAACAATTGAACCTCTCTCCTTGAAGTTCTTGATGATCCGATAAATGGTTGATTTAGGTGCAATCTTACTAGCAGCAATATCCTTGCCTGTGAAGCCCTTTTTGTGCAAAGCAATGATGACGGCATGTGTTTCCTTGCAGGTAACCATGGTTAACAGAGGAAGAACAATGATTTTAAGCACCACCCTCCTTTTAAAGATTCCAGTCTGTTATTCTAACTCAATCAGCATGACAGAGTGATCTCTAGCCTTGTCCTCATCAACACTCTCACCTGTGTTAACGAGAGAATCACTGACATGGTGCTTTTGTGGCAGGGCTGAAATGCAGTGGAAATGTTTTTTTGGGATTAAGTTCATTTTCATGGCAAAGAGGAACTCTGCAATTAATTGCAATTAATCTGATCACTCTTCATAACATTCTGGAGTATATGCAAATTGCCATCATAAAAACTGAGGCAGCAGACTTTGTGAAAATTAATATTTGTGTCATTCTCCAAACTTTTGACCACGACTGTAGAGACTAATCCATGGTAAAAACTAAAAGCTGAAATGTAATTTAAAATATATATATATAAAATATAAATGATTTGCTAAAATAACAAAGACTAAGAGCACCCTAGGCAAAAGCAAAGCTAAAAAGTTTTAAAGATTTATTTAAATAATGCCCACAGTTTCAGCCCCACTCAGATTTGCTGGCATGCTGTTTTGTATATTTTCCAGGGGAGAACTTAAATTCTAGTCTGACCTGGGAAAAGGCTTGGGAACTCTTACGGCAGATGGAAGTGTCATCTAGATTAGATTAATATCCAAACAGGATATGAAAGATGGCCTCCCTCTTTTTCCCCATTCGCCTTAGGCACTCACGTCATAGTGCAGTTCTCCTGGAGGCTATCATAATGCACACCACTCATGACCTCTGTCTGGAATGGCTGTTAGTGTCATAGTCAAAGCACAGTTGAAGCAGCTCAGTTCTCTGTCCTTCCAAGAACATCCATAAACTGATTTCACTTTTACTTTATTACGCTTGTACTCATTTAAAAATGTTGCCTGCTAGATGTCACTGTTATCAATTGACATTAGTAAATAATAGTATAAAAGACAAATGTTTAACCCAGGGTTTGCTGTCAGGACAGTCAGTTAAGCTATACATTTTCCCACTGTATTCAGATGTTGATGAGGATGGGTTTATGTACAGAATCACTGTGTTAAAAACATTATCTCATCGCCACAGGTGCTGGCCAGGAGAGTGCCATGTTTGTTCATGCACAGTCCTTTGAAGACCTGACTGCTGACAGTGAGGTGACTACTGAGACTGAACCTGAAGGAGACTCTGTGCTTGGAGAGTCAGCAGAGGAGGAGGCTCTGTGTCTGGGGGCTGAGCAGGAGACCCAGGAGGAGCAGCAGCCGGAGGTGGAGGTAGAGGAGGAGCGCCCAGAAAGCATGAGTAAGGAAGAGGATGTGTGCAGTGAGGCCTGGCGTAGCCACAGGAAGCATGTGTTTGTACTGAGCGAGGCAGGCAAGCCCATCTACACCCGCTACGGCACGGAGGAAGCCCTCTCCAGCACCATGGGGGTCATGATGGCACTGGTCTCCGTCGTGGAGGCAGACAAGAATATCATCCGCTCCATTCACGCAGGTAAGTAGATGATGTGGGTAGTATCTCTGTGAATGGGCAAATTAGAGTTAGAGTAGCCTTGCAGTTTTTGTCAATGAAACATGGTGAACAACTATGAAGTAGGCTACATAATTGAAAGCTCAGTCGGTAGTTCTGTCGGTAAGACATGCCATATTGCAAGAAAGGCTGCACCTATCTACTAGTACTGTAGATGTTTCATTGCCCTCTCATTCAAATCTTCTGTTCAAGACGGTTACAAAGTGGTGTTCCTTCGCAAGACTCCTCTGGTCCTGGTGGGCGTATCCCGGACCTGTCAGTCAGACAGAGAGCTGACGCGTGAGCTGCAGTACATCTACTACCAGATCGTCAGCCTGCTCACCCTCACCCAGCTCAACCACATCTTCCAGCACAAGCAGAACTACGACCTGCGTCGCCTACTGGCAGGCTCCGAGCACCTCACTGACAACCTGCTGCGTCTGCTGGACCGCGACCCGGGCCTGCTCCTCAGTGCTGTCACCTGCCTTCCCCTGGCCAGCTCCACCCGTGACCTGGTCTCCTCCAGCCTTCAGGCCGCCAAGGCCAAGAGCCTGGTCTTCTCCATCCTCCTGGCTGGGGACCGTCTGGTCACCCTGGTGCGCAAGAAGGACCAGTACCTGCACCACATGGACCTGCACCTGCTCTTCAACCTGGTGGGCTCCTCGTCATCTTTCCGCGAGGGCGAAGGCTGGACGCCCATCTGCCTCCCTAAGTTCAACACTGCTGGCTTCTTCCACGCCCACATCTCCTACATGGAGCCTGCCTCTGACCTCTGCCTCATCCTGGTGTCCACCGACCGGGAGGACTTCTTTAACCTATCGGATTGCAAGCGCCGCTTCCTGGAGAGGCTGAGCCGACGCACTGCCTACCAGGCCCTGAAGGAGGCGCTGAAGTGCCCTAGCTACTCTGTCACCCAGGTCGGAATCCCAGAGCTCAGGCACTTTCTGTACAAGTCCAAGAGCTCAGGGCTCTACACTAGGTGAGCATGGATCATCAGACACACATGATGGCTTATGTGGTTAAAAGTCCTTGTTACCAATCTCCCATCCTGGCTTACCACCAATTCAACCATTATGTTTCTGTGTTCTCCATCAGCCCTGAGCTGCCCTTGCCATACCAATCTGTAGAGGAGCAGGAGAGGCTGATGGGATCGTACCAGTACCTCCACAGCCGCTTGCACCAACCGACACGTCCCCTGCGCTCCATCTACCGCTGTGGAGAGACTGAGAACCTGCTGGCCTGGGTAAGCATAGTGTTATACCAATCTATAGATTTGCATACATTGTTATACATCTCATCTTATTGATACCATCTTTAGATGTTAAAATGCAGTCTTGCAGTGCATAATAAAGATATTGGTTCATAAGGATCTCTTCAGGGGATATCTGTAGTACCATGGTTATTAATCTCCCCTTTAAACCCTCTTCCACCACCTCTACCCTACCTTTCCTTTAGGTGACCAGTGGCTTTGAGCTCTACCTCTGTTTCAGTCCCCTTGGGACCAAGGCCATGGCCGTGGCTGCTGTTAATAAGCTGCTGAAGTGGATCAGGAGGGAGGAGGACCGCCTCTTCATCCTTAGTCCCCTGACATACTGAGCCCCCAGGCCCCCAGCTGACCTAGCTACAGTTCCAAGAAGCCCTGGCCCTCTAAACCTGCCTCATGACGTTGAAGTCTGATGGAAACTATTGGAGGCCATGGATGTAATGCCAACAAACCATCATGCATCACTGTTGTGCATATGCAGTCTGTGTTTGCTCTTTGCAGACCCTTCAGTCTATGGTCATCAGGGGGTCAAATGAGGTCATCACAATGAGGGTACAGCTATGTTTTATCAAACGTAATGTTATGATTTTAATTGTTTGGTTTAACTACGGTGATTGCCCTATGGGAATTGAGAGATACACAGCAGACATTTCAATTAATAACAATAACAATGCCCTGTTGCTATAAGATTATTATTTTAAACTGTCACTGTATGGAATCACTACCTGGACATGGGGAATGCTGTGTGTTGTTTTAGCAGTAACCTACAAACATAGCCAATAGAGACTGACCATCTTGAAAAGGAACTAGATTTGTTTTTGTCTTGTCTCTAGTATGCGCCTGACATGTAAAATTATTATTTGTGTCTTTATTTGTTGCTTGGATTAATGTTTTGGATCATGGATTTTCACCATCAAAGATGATGTAATTGGCAAAGTATCTTTATTTTAAGATGGGAATCTCTGAGGTGTCTGTATTAATATGATTTTTGTTGTTATCTCACAAATTATAAGTGTTTCATGGGGTCCATCCCATTTGATTAAGAAAAATACTGTAATTTTCACATTCACCTTGAGTCATCAAAAGCCTTCCCTCACATTTCATGCCTTACCTAATTGCCTTCAGAGTTGTGCTAAACTAATGGGGTGTGATGACTGGAGCTTATTAGGGTATTGTAGCTGATTAATTTGCAGTGGTAGAAAATGTACCCAATTGTCATACTTGAGTAAAAGTAAAGATACCTTAATAGAAAATGACTCAAGTAAAAGTGAAAGTCATCCAGTAAAATCCTACTTGAGTAAAAGTCTAAAAGTATTTGGTTTTAAATTTACTCAAGTATTAAAAGTAAATGTATACACCATTTAAAATTCCTTATATTAAGCAAACAAGATGGCACCATTTTCTTGTTTTGTTTAATTTACGGATATCCAACACTCAGACATAATTTACAAACGAAGCATGTGTTTAGTCCGCCAGATCAGAAGCAGCAGGGATGACCAGGATGTTCTCTTGATAAGTGTGTGAATTAGACAATTTTCCTGTCCTGCAAACATTCAAAATGTAATGAGTACTTTTGGGTGTCAGGGAAAATGTATGGAGTAAAAAGTACATTCTTTTCTTTAGGAATGTAGTGAAGTAAAAGTTGTCAAAAATATAAATAGTAAAGTACAGATACCCCCCCAAAATACTTATGTAGTACTTGCAAGTATTTCTTACTTAAGTACTTTACACCACTGTTAATTTGTGCCACAAGTCTAGCTTCTAGATCTGCCAACATTTTACAAATGTTCCTAGAGATTAGTGACTTAATATTATGATAAAAAATAAATGTGATATGAAATGTAATGTGTACATGTTCATGTCTGAATACAACACATTGTGAGAATTTTGTCTGTAGGCTATCATAGGACAACTGGCATCAGTAACTATTTAACCACATACAAGAGACAGTTGATTTTCTTACCCCCTCCTTGGTAAGCTTTTATTGTAATTTTTGAAAGTATAACCATTGTTTTTATTTTGTTACTTTCAACAATTGCACATTCTACTCATTCATATATTTATGTTTAATCAAAAACATATTTTGTTACTTTCAACAATTGCACATTCTACTCATTCATATATTTTTGTTTAATCAAAAAAATATATCTATCAATAATTTGCAATAAGGAATTAGGAATTTTCTTTGTGAATAAATAAACAGGAAATACGTTTTGAAGTCAAGTGGCAAGATTGTTAATCAATTTCACTGTCATTTTATGCACTTGGCAGATGCTACACTGTATTACTAGAGCGCGCCAAGAGGAGGGGCGTGCGTTCGCTCATTTCAGGAGTACAGCAAAGCAACCGGTGTACTGCATGTAGTCTATGGTTCAATTTGTGCATGGAATTTAGAACTGTTTACATTTTTGGATATACTTTTTTGAATAGCGTAGGCAATATTATTTTGAAAAATTCTGACTCATTTAATGCTGTATTAGAATCAACAGGCTTATCGGTGGAGTGAAAACATAGGCCTACCTGTTCAAGTCCGCGCGCGGTCAAGGGTTTGGCAATGCAGTCAGAGACAAATGAGAGATTCGTGAGCTATTTTCATTAACTCAAACAGGTGAGTAGCGAAACGCTATGGTGTCGTAAAATGTTTTACATAATGTGAGATGAGTTTCCTCGTTCTCCCTCACTCAACTATACTGTGATTTAGACATCGAATTTATTCAATTTGGATTCAGAGGAAGGTAATATTAACACTGATATTATTTAATAATCTGAAATATAATCTACGATCTTCTATAATAGATTTCCAGTAACTGGTCTACGTTGGGTGTTTCAAACCTCCCACTGGGCACAGACGTCAATTCAACGTCTATTTCGCGTTGATTCAACGTAATTTCGTTGAAATGACGTGGAAACAACGTTGATTCAACCAGTGAGTGTGTGCCAAAAGGGTTGTTTCTACTCCACTTTAAGGACAGAACATTCTATCTGTTTATTTTGTTTTTGTCAGTCTTTGAACTAGGTGAAATCAAAAATATATATATCAGTGTATTGACTACTACTGTACATATTTACCTGGTTTTATGGCGAAATTGTGTACCTTATAACTGTTCCATGATGATATACACATGGCATTTCCTGCAAGTCAGATAAACTCCTATTGCCTTATCCCATGTTTAACAGGGTGGCTGTGAGAATTATAAACCTATTAATCACATCTCAGTTTAGTTGGATAGCTAATACATTAGTCCCCTGTAGCTCAGTTGGTAGAGCATGGCGCTTGCAATGCCAGGGTTGTGGGTTCGATTCCCACTGGGGGGGGTATGAAAAATTTATGCACTCACTAACTGTAAGTCGCTCTGGATAAGAGTGTCTGCTAAATTACTAAAATGTAAGTGCTATTGCAGATGTTCCCAGGCGGACTCATGGCTCAGACAGTTGACCAAGCTGCATAGACAAAGTACTGTACTCCACTGTAATCCTTGATGACATTTGTAGAAACACCAGAAAAGGCTAAGGTAATGCTATTTGTGACTTTTCCATTACCAAGACCAGATTACAATGCATCACATGCCTACCTATGAATGGAAACTCAATTTCAAACCTTTGGTTTATTAACCATCTGCATGAAGAAAGTCAAATCAGTCCTATTAATATGTATACCCATGGCCCTGCTGGTTTTAAACACTAAACCTCAGTTGGTTTGACATGAAGTTGCAGGTGTTAAAATGTTACATGTACACCAATGCAATTCTATGAATTATTGATGTTCTATATAGACTCAACTTTTTATATTTCCAATTTTCTATCAAGTCTAAAGGCTAATTATTATAGGTATTTTTACTGTATCATGAATATTATTATATACCGGTAGTTAATCTCATTATAATGCTTCTGTTGTTGAAATTCTACAACACGTTTTTGAGAAGCTCCCATGTTAATGTGGGACTTAGAAGGCACGTATGGTATGACCATCAGTCCGTGTGCATCTTTTTCCCAGAAAGGCACGTAGTGGTTGTGACAGGAATGCAAAGTAGAGAGGCCCAGGTCCCTGAGTGCTACCTGGCTGTGATGTGTCTGGTTAAACATCAACCAAGGGGATCAGGCACAATTCAAATGCACAATGTCCAGGGTACATGGAGTGCTCTGGTCAACTTCAGTAGTAGCTGTAATTACATTGTTCAGTATTGATTAGCAATTATGTATTTCAACCCATTCATCATTTGAACGTAAAGTCCTCTAGGAAAATTAATACCTACAGGGAGATTACTATTCTCTTGAATTAGAATAATTCTGGATTATTGATCTGTATTGAACTAGAAAGACAGAGGGTTTGAGTTACTATCACATTCTTTGTATGAGAACATGGAACAAATTGTGATAAATGCTTTTTGACACAAGTGCTTTTACATTATTAGGTTGTGAGGACAGAGAATGACATTTTCAGGCACTTTATGAAATACTTCAGATTGTTAATTAAGAAAAGGTTTCATAGACACATACTGTGTAATACCAACACAGCTCTCTTTGGCTATCGGTATCTAAACATTTCCTATTAGGCTGTTATTTACTATGAGTCAGCAGAAGCTTTTAACATTGGCTCATTATGACCACACATCTCTTCATCACTGTCTCTCTCATATTTGACTTGACCAGAAAGTACTTAGGTCTTTGTTTTTTTTAGATAAAATCCCATTATGTTTACAGCTTAGGAGTCATATTGACTGCAATCTTGTGGACTGTCTGGGCGTACTACTTTAATCATTTATAATTTTTCGTCTTCTCAGAGATCTGCAGCTGGTCTCAATAAGGATGACATTGTCCAACCATCAGACCTGGAGGTAACCCAAAGACGTCAGTGCTCCCTTCTCTCTGCGTCCCAGATTGGAGATGGTCCACTGGGCCACCCAGTGGTTGACATGTGTCTGGCTCCAGACTGTCCTGGCCTCCGCGTTGGACACCTGTCCCTCCACAGCCCCTAGCCCTGTCAACTTCTCTGTGGTCTACATCATGCCCTTCTTCCAAACAAAGAGCCCCATCCAAAACATAGTGACCAACTCAATGTACCAGGAAGTGTATGTGGCATCTCAGAATGTGATTGAAGCTGTGAACATGAGTTTGGAGAAGGTGTGGGAGCTTCCTACAGGCCCAGTGGGCAGCCCTGAGTGTAAGATTTGCGATTTGTGTGACGTTGACAAGGATCCCAGCTTCCTAGAGAACACAGACAATGAGGTATTGTTGTTGGATACGTTCTTTATGTATTTATACTCTTGTGGGAGTTCTCAATATGGTGTGTGCCATTTTCACCAACTTAAGACAGATGGACAACCACCCAATAAGAATTCTTCAAAATGTTTATTCAGAAAAGAATCTAACTCTGCTGCCTATTGCCCTGACTGCCTTGCCAGCCCGCTGGGCACCAAAGTCACCATGGTGGAGGAGGGGCAGACTGTATACTTTTTTGTGGCTGCCACCGTCAATGACAGTGTTACACAGAGATATGGCAGGAAGTCCATATCAGTGCGCCGACCATTGGCAACAGAAGATGGGTTCTACAGCGACGTGCGGGGACTGACCGTTCTGCCTAGCCTGCGCAGGACCTACAACATTGAGTATGTCTACAGTTTCTTCACCCAGGAGTTTGTCTACTTCCTGTCCGTCCAGAGAGAGAGCCCTGACCAGGAGTTCTCCCCATTTCAGACTCGGCTGGGCCGCCTGCCGAGGAGCGAGTGGGAGATGAGAAGGTACCGGGAGGTGGTTCTGGAGTGCCGTTTTGAACCCAAGCGGAGGAGGAGGAGGAACACGGTGAGCGGGAGCGAGGCCTTTAAGGATGTGGTTTACAATGTGGTGCAGGCAGCCCACTTTGGGAAGGCAGGCAGGGAGCTGGCAGATGAACTAGGGGCAGAGGAAGAGGATGACATCCTGTATGGAGTGTTCGCTGTCACAGATGACAATGGGGTCACAGAGCACGACTCAGCCCTCTGTGCCTTTCCCATGGACAACGTGAACAAGGCCATCGATGACGGGGTGGATGACTGCTGTAAGTCTGGCCCAGAGCAGCTGTCCCGGGGACTGTGCCACTTCCAGGCCTGCGAGAGCTGTCCTCATGAGGTGAGTTCACCAGTCCACCCATTCAACACTCACACAGGTTTCTTCAGAGAGGTGTTGGTAAATTGTGTGATATACTGTATGTATACTCAGTCTGTTCAGTATGTCTCCACAATGCATATAAACTCTCATGCTGATATATAGCATGAGAGTTTTTCGCTTACAGGCTTACTTCACTCAAATATTTGTGACAGGCCGAGTTAGTTAGTTTGTCTGCTTGAGCAGCCCAGAGAGGAAGCCCAGATGCGTACTTACTTGCCTGGCTGGACTTGCAAGATGGACACTTGGATGTCTGTGAAGTCAGCGAGAGTGGGTGATCCAGTGATAACATAAAAAAACAGTTTTACAAAAGTATGAAACAGTGTGAAGGATAATGAGTGGACCAGGAGACAAGTGGGAGCTGTCTAGAGGACTGGAACATTCTGTACTACTCTTATGGCAGGAATCCAGATTATTTTAATTACTCTCATTCCTGTGTAGATGAAGATATAAGATAATGTGTATATTCTACAGTGCATTCGGAAGGTATTCACACCCCTTGACCTTTTCCACATGTTGTTACGTTACAGCCTTATTCTAAAGTGGATTAAAAAAATAAAAAAATACCGGTCTACACACAATACCCCATAATGACAAAGCAAAAACAGGTTTTTAGAAATGTTAGCAAATTTATTATTTACCTGTGGTAAATTCAATTGACTGGACATGATTTGAAAAGGCACACACCGGTCTATAAAAGGTCCCACAGTTGACAGTGCATGTCAGAGCAAAAACCAAGCCATGAGGTCGAAGAAATTGTCCGTAGAACTCCGAGACAGGATTGTGTCGAGGCACAGATCTGGGGAAGGGTACCAAAAAATGTCTGCAGCATTGAAGGTCCCCAAGAACACAGTGGCCTCCATCATTCTTAAGTGGAAGAAGTTTGGAACCACCAAGACTCTTCCTAGAGCTGGCCGCCCGGGCCAAACGGAGCAATCGGGGGAGAGGTGCCTTGGTCAGGGAGGTGACCAAGAACCCGATGGTCACTCTGACAGAGCTCCAGAGTTCCTCTGTGGAGATGGGAGAACCTTTGAGAAGGACAACCATCTCTGCAGCACTCCACCAATCAGGCCTTTATGGTAGAGTGGCCAGACGGAAGCCACTCCTCAGTAAAAGGCACATGACAGCCCGCTTGGAGTTTGCCAAAAGACACCTAAAGGACTCTCAGACCATGAGAAACAATATTCTCTGGTCTGATGAAACCAAAATTGAACTCTTTGGCCTGAATGCCAAGCGTCACATCTGGAGGAAACCTGCAACCATCCCTACGGTGAAGCATGGTGGTGGGCTAGTGGCAGCATCATGCTGTGGGGATGTTTTTCAGCGGCAGGGTCTGGGAGACTAGTCAGGATGGAGGGAAAGATTAACGGAGCAAAGTACAGAGAGATCCTTGATGAAAACCTGCTCCAGAGTGCTCAGACTGTGGCGAAGGTTCACCTTCCAACAGGACAAAGACCCTAAGCACATAGCCAAGACAACGCAGTAGTGGCTTCGAGACAAGTCTCTGAATGTCCTTGAGTGGCCCAGCCAGAGCCCGGACTTGAACCCGATCGAACATCTCTGGAGAGACCTGAAAATAGCTGTGCAGCGACGCTCCCCATCCAACCTGACAGAGCTTGAGAGGATCTGCAGAGAAGAATGGGAGAAACTCCCCAAATACAGGTGTGCCAAGCTTGTAGCGTCATACCCAAGAAGACTCAAGGCTGTAATCGCTGCCAAAGGTGCTTCAACAAAGTACTGAGTAAAGGGTCTGAATACTTATGTAAATGTTATATTTCCGTTTTTTTGTATTTATAAATTAGCAAAAATGTCTAAAAACCTGTTTTTGCTTTGTCATTATGGGGTATAATGTATAGCTTGATGAGGGGAAAAAACGATTTAATCCATTTTAGAATAAGGCTGTAACGTCACAAAATGTGGAAAAAGTCAAAGGGTCTGAATACTTTCCGAATGCACTGTTTGTGTGATTTTAATTTCAGATGATCTTTTTCATGATGCAATTGCTTCACAAATCCGATTTTTCTGTCCTGGGCATACATGTATTGCCCAGTTTAAAGGATTTGCATCATGTTGTGTTGGAGTTCTTCTGCTCTGCCTCGGGTAGTTGATCCACTATATCTCACAAATGTCCAGATGAAATCCATAAGGCTTCATCAAAATTCTTCTGTTGTCAGCTAATATTTTGTCTTATTTTGTCTATTCAACTTAGTGAATAGCATTGGTGTTTAGTATGAGGGTTTCAGCATGAAATATCCTTTATATATTTTGTACACACTTTTGTTCATTTTACAATGTCAATATGTATTTTTTGTTAATGTTTTGGCATCAAACCGGTGGCAGTTGTGAAAAAAGTCAATATTTTGAAGAGTTAATAATGCCATTGTTGATTAGATGCTTTTTTCATTAAAAAGGCTATTTTCTCTTGAACCATATGGCCTATCTACTAGAAACTCATGGACAATATGGACACCGATATAAAAAATGAATACTATATATGAATATATATATTTTGTAAGTTATTCAAGTATAAATTACAAAAGTTACCATATATTGCCATAGATTTTCTGTTCATTACCAAAATAACTGAAGATTCCGGTAACTTTCGTAAACTACCGGTAGCTTTGCAACCTTACTCCTGACTCCTTGACTCTTCTTGGGAGCAATCAATTTGTCCGGAAGCTTTTTTTTAGGATGGAAAACTGCTTTATGGAAAAAGGACACACCATTATTCCAACACAAGAAAACAGCTGAAAAGGAACCGGATTTTGGACAGAGGCCAACGTATTTGGGAGTTAGTTAGCTTTTAAACTTGTTTCCAGATATGTGTCTTTGAATAAATCTCTCATGGCACATGAACTTTAACAGTGCCTTTGGCAATGTTCTATTGTCAGTCAAATGAATTTGATGCCTCATTAATCTGGAAATTAAACAACATTTTTGATTGTTTTATATATATATATTTTTTTTATTGCGTAAGACTAAGAATATCAGCAAATAGGCATAGCTGAAAACGTGCCAGTGAGTGTCATTATGACATCTCATTTAACTCCGTAAACATTCCCAGACCTCTACAGATCTCTGGTTCTGACATTCTTTTGTTAAATTGGGTAAAATACAATGTTTTGTGCAGTAGCGGTGCATGGGTAACATTACTGAGGAAGCCAAGCCAGGAAAAAAAGCCATATTACAACCTATGTGTTGTGATAATTGCGTTGTTTGCTCTATAACCTGTTAGTTCATATCCTTTGTCACCGTGATATACAGTACCAGTCAAAAGTTTGGACACACCTACTCATTCAAGGGTTTTTCTTAATTTGTACTATTTTTTACATTGTAGAATAATACTGAAGATATCAAAACTATTAAATAACACATATGGAATCATGTACTAACCAGAAAAGTGTTAAACAAATCAACAAAGACTACCATTCAAAAGTTTGGGGTCACTTAGAAATGTCCTTGTTTTCGAAAGAAAAAGCAATTTTGTTGTCCATTAAAATAACATCAAATTGATCAGACATACAGTGTAGACATTGTTAATGTTGTAAATGGCTATTGTAGCTGGAAACGGCTGATTTTTTTATGGAATATCTACATAGGCGTACAGAGGCCCATTATCAGCAACCATCAGTCCTGTGTTCCAATGGCACGTTGTGTTTGCTAATCCATGTTTATAATTTTAAAAGGCTAATTGATCATTAGAAAACTATTTTGCAATTATGTTAGCACAGCTGAAAACTGTTGTGCTGATTAAAGAAGCAATACAACTGGCCTTCTTGAGACTAGTTGAGTATCTAGAGCATCAGCAATTGTGGGTTCGGTTACAGGCTCAAAATGGCCAGAAACAAATAACTTTCTTCTGAAACTCGTCAGTCTGTTCTTGTTCTGAGAAATGAAGGCTATTCCATGCGAGAAATTGCCAAGAAACTGAAGATCTCGTACAACGCTGTGTACTACTCCCTTCACAGAACAGCACAAACTGGCTCTAACCAGAATAGAAAGTGCGTGCGTGCGTGCGTGCGTGCAAGTAGAAAAAAACATGTTGACTCACCCAGAAATGCCAATGCCATCCTCCTCTCTTTCATGACTTTGTCATACAGTACACACTTTTAGTTTTTGTTGTCCTAGGCTACCTGGTTAAAATCCTTGCTCGCTAGCCTAACTTCCTTTCATGGGCAACGATGCGCCAGGCCAGCTAGTTTAACATTAGCCTACTACATCTAGCTACATATTGAACTGAGTTGAACAATTGCAGTTTTTTCTGTAAATTACGTTTGGCTTGTGATTGGTGTGAAGCCAAATCCAAGCTGTCTTCCCTTGACACTTTTTTTTGTTCCGCCAGTTTAGCTCAATGCTGATTTGCTATTATTTTTAAAAATTATTATCAAGGGAGGCCAAATGCTCGCTGGCTTCCCTTGCATTCAATGCTATGGGGGCAACAATGTCATACTCTTTTTGGCCAAACAGCATCAGATAGATGGCCTACACATACTGAGACAGAGGGGTGCTCTTTCGCTCACTCGAATGCTTTCTCCGGTGAGATACATTCAGCCTCCTGCGAACTGAAGGAAAATTATGAAACACAGAGAGACGAAAGATAAATTAAATAAATACAAATTATTGGTACATTTTTGGGGGAAGCCGGGCCATGAACTTCCTTGAATGTGGAATGTTCCTGTAAGGCCGTTAAAGAGTTTGACTTTTGGACACATTATGTGCATCAGATTTGCCTCAATTTAGGGGTTCCAATTATATTGAAGATGGATGACTGCTTGAAATGTTAAGTCTTTGCCAGATTCATAAACAAAGTGTTATGCCAAATTAAGAACTTGCCAATGAACTCCTGTGCTCACGGAACATCGATATATCATTGAAATATTATTGCGTAGGGATTAGGGAATTAACAAACATAGTTTATATGTTAATCCAAGTGTCATGAAACTTGTGGGAGGAAAAATGGATGTGGCTTTCAGGCAGATTTGACCTGGAGATGAACTATTATGGAATGATGTCAGATGTCGTTAGCTGAAAACTAAGAGCAGCTCAAGACCAAACATGTTGATAGTGTAGTTTTCTCCACTATTAGTCACACTTAGCATTAAATGGGTAGATTAATGATAATCCTTCATTAGATTCTCATTATGCAAAATTGCAATTCCAGGTGAAGGTAACTGAGGCCACCTCTACCATGTTTTACAGTACTTTTCTGTTCCTGTGTGTTTTCACAATTCAGGGCAGGAGTGGCCTGCCAGCTGGAATTTACAGGAATCTAAAATCCTGGCCCCTCCCTCTCCAACAGTAGCTCACAGCTGATACCAATAACCCTGCTTCTCACAAGAACAACTACACTTCCTTTTAGTGTCATTATCTGTTGTGTAGTAGGTATTATTGAAGTGGGTATATTTTGTTATGTGGTCAGATGACTTGAAAGCAGAGCTCTTTGTCCACACATACCAGTGGTGGGTTTGGCGTCGAAAAATGGATGCATGTGCAAAAAATAACCTCATACCTACTGCAAAATATTGTGGTGGAATCTTTGATGTTATGGGACTATTTTGCTTTCACTGGTCCTGGGGTCCTTGTTAAGGTCAATGACATCATGAACTTTACCAAGTACCAGGACATTTTAGCCAAAAACCTAGTTACCTCTGCCAGGAGGCTGAAACTTGGCCACAAGTGGATCTTCCAGCAAGAAAAATAACCCCAAACCCACAACAAAATCCACAAAGAAATGGTAAATTGACCACAAATCAACACTTTGTAATGGCCATCTCAGTCTCCGGACTTGAACCCCATTGAAAACCTGTGTTTTGAATTGAAGAGGGTAGTCCATAAATGCAGACTAAGGATATCAAGGATCTGGAAAGATTCTGTATGGAGGAATGGTCTAACATCCCTCCTAATGTGTTCTCCAATCTCATAAAACATTTGAGAAAAAGGCTCAGTGTCGTTATCCTCGCAAGGGGAGGTTATTAGTTGTTAAACAAAATCTCTGACCAATTGTATTAGTGTCAAAATAATAAAAATAATTAAATGTATTACATTTTTTGCTCATCTTTATCAAGGGTGCCAATAATTTGGGACCTGACTGTATAATTTGAAGTCTATTTCAGTGTACTTTTACTGGCCCATGGCATTGACGGCTTATTATTGTCTGGTCTTTGCCACACTGTCTGCCCTCTACCTCCAGCACGCCCAGATGTTATGAAACCATGGAAACAAACCCACCTTAACCAATCTTTTCCTAGTACAGTATTGTGGGAGAAAACAATTTAAAAAAAAATAAGTTCCAGAGACAGTCAGAAAAAACACTCTGATCCTACGGCATATTCAATTTTGTGTCAGTAGAACAGATTCTGATTCCCAAACACCACAAGCAGTTCTGTTGAACTAATGAGCATATACAGTTCCTAGGCTATATCCTTGTTCTTCTAGTTTTTCATTCAACTGCATTTTTGGAGAATTCCTAATTTGCACAACAGCTTGTGTGCATATTCATGACTGTTGTAACTTGAAATCTGAGACAATGATTGCTTCTTTATCATGTTATTTGTACCTCTTTAGATGGATCAAATAATAGGTTTAATTGTACCACGTCAGAATGATCACTAGAAGGAGTAGTGAGAGCTATGAATCACTGTGGGTCTTTGGCCTCTGAGGCCAGACACCATTGTGGTTCATTCAGGAAGCTGAAGCAGAACCAAGGTTTTCTGAACCCATGAGGAAGGTGGGCAAAATGAATCAATAAAGATGCACAGAATAGAACTGACATAATAATAGCATCAGAAATGTGAACACAATTTGTACATGGATCATGATACTGTAATTATTTTTCTGCTTTCTGTTATTTACACTCTCAGAAAGAAGGGTTCCAAAAGTATTATTCGGTTCCAGGTAGAACAGTTTTGGTTTCTGGTAGAACCCTTTTTGGTTCCAGGTAGAACCTTTTTGTGTTCCATGTAGAACCCTCTGTAGAAAGGGTTCTACATGGAACCCAAAAGGGTTCTACCTGAAACCAAAACGGTTCTACCTGGAACCAAAAAGGGTTCTTCAAAGGGTACTCCTATGGGGACAGCCGAAGAACCCTTTAAGGTTCTAAATAACACCTTTTTTTGTTATCTAAATATTGTGTATGTAGTTTTTAATGTTATTATTTGAAGAGCACAAGTAGATTTATTTACGCAGTGTCCTTCATACCCCTTAGTGTCCTCTGTTTGCAGCCCAGAATGATTCTGATAGATTCATACTACTCATGGTTTCCTGACCATGAAAAACTCTGGGCCCTTGTTATGGGCTATAACTAGGACCCAACATGTTTTCCTGGTCTGGGCCCGTGGTCAGAAAAAACTCCTGGCCCTACTAAAAACATACATCATCTCCCTATCTACTATGGCCTATCTCCCTGTGACTAGAGCATGGAGAACAACGCCACCTGCAGGGACCACCCCACCATGGTGTCTAAGCCTTACTACAGAGTGGACCTCTTCAACAAGCAGATGAATGACATCCTGCTCACCTCACTGCTGGTCACCACCATCGAGAACAAGACCGTGGCTCACATTGGCACCTCCACTGGACGGCTCCTGCAGGTATGGAGGGGGACAGAGAGCTCACAATAGTGTGATCCTGATCCATTTGATCTAATCCAAGATGGAGTTAAATGAAAAATGTGAACACAGTCCTGCCCTTCTTTGATAGATTACTAACGATCTGCTCTGTCTTTTGGCAGCTTGTTTTGAGAAGATCAAGCCCTACTATCTTTGCCAATTACACCTTGGTAGAGAACCAGAGGGTCTCCTCCATTGCTGCTGTGTACTCGTCAGAATCTCTACTGTTTGTGGTTGGAGACAAGGTATGGAAAAGCCTGTTCAAAATCAGTTACAGGTAGCAAACACACAGCAATCAAAGTGACTCTTTGATTGAATCAAAGTTAATCAAATCTCTCTTTGGCTGGCAGGTGATCCAGGTGCCACAGAGGGGGCCAGGCTGCCAGCACTTCATGACCTGTGCAATGTGCCTGATGGCCCCTGAGTTCATGGGCTGTGGCTGGTGCTCTGGAGAGTGCTCCTGGGAGGAGGAGTGCAGTGGCCGCTGGAGGAATGAGTCTTGCCCTCCTGGAATCACCGGGGTGAGAAGAACTGGGGAGAGGGATGTGTTTGTTTAATGCAGTTTAGATTGGAGCAATTAGCTACCCACCAATACCATGTTCCTGTTTGGTTTAGTTCTTCCCCAAGATGGCTCCCCCTGATGGTCAGTCAGAGCTGACTCTGTGTGGCTGGGAGTTCCAGTCTCCCCTGAGGCCTGCCATCAGCTCCAGAACCCACCTGGTCAGACTGGGACAGACAGCCTGCGCTGTGCTGCCACTGAGGAGCAACAACACACAGTAGGCTTTTTCACACTGCATTGTTCTTCGCCCAGGGCTTTCCTTAGCCCCAGGCTAATACTGGCCCTGGGTTAACTTAGCCTGTGTTCACACAAGCAGGGCTAACCGAAACCAACTGTCACTTTTCTGGAGTAGAATATTCAAATTAGGTAACAGTGGAACTCTGTGATTGGCTAGCCCCAAAAAGTCGTTGCTAACACTGCTCCAGAGCAGGGCCAGCTAGTCCTGGGCCAAGGTTGGTGCTAGCCCACTTTAGAATGTTTAAGTGTGGATACTCTCTTAGCCCTGGGCTGTGCAAGTTTGAACACTCAGTGAGTACCACTCACAATGACAGAGATACACAGTGGATCATATAAGCAATATTGACATACACTGAGCATACCAAACATTAGGAACACCTTCCTAATATTGAGTTGCACCCCCGTTTTTGCCCTCAGAACAACCTCAATTCGTCGGGGCATGGACTTTACAAGGTGTCGAAAGCGTTTTACAGGGATGCTGGCACACGTTGACTCCAATGCTTCCCACAGTTGTGTCAAGTTGGCTGGATGTCCTTTGGGTGGTGGACCATTCTTGATACACACGGGATGCATTGCAGTTCTTGACACAATGCAGTGCGCCAGGCACCTACTACCATACCCTGTTCAAAGGGCACTTAAATTATTTGTTTTGCCCATTTACCCTCTGAATGGCACACATACACAATCCATGTCTCAATTGTCTCAAGGCGTCATCTACACTGATTGAAGTGGATTTAACAAGTGACATCAATAAGTGATCATAGCTTTCACCTGGATTCACCTGGTCAGTCTATGTCATGGAAAGAGTTCTTAATGTTTTGTATACTCAGTGTATATGGTAGGTTTATTATGTGTAGCTAGGTTTTACTCAAATAGTATGGGCCAGTAATGCAACATAGATTTTAATTCAACTGAAATGGGTTTATGTCTCATGGTGATTTCTGCTGCGTCAATGTTAGTTTGACACTGACATGTTGATGAGCCTGTTGTTGTGCCGCCCCTTAGCCTGGTGTGTAAGATTCGCTCTGGGGCCATTGAGCTGTCCAAACCAGTTAACATCACTGTGGAGGTGCAAGAGGGGAAGGTGGACGGCCGCTACTCCATCGACGGGAAAGCAGAGATGCCAGGATTTACCTTTGTGGTAATTTGAACCTACCATTGATTTAACTGCTTAGTTGTAGTTGGGTGATTCATTTGATTATGCCTCAGTTAATAATAAAATATATTATTGCATGTAACAATAATACATGCAATAATATATCACAAGATATAAACAGGTCACCATGACTGAGCTCAATGCCATCATCGGGGTACGTGGGCTTCCCAATCTGCCTCTCACCGTGTGTACATTTTTTTTTACATCTTCATTTATTAAACATCAGCTAGGCCAGGGACAAACCTGCATTAACGTGACTACTGACTACACATTCTAATGTAATGTTTAGAACTACCTGTATCTAGCAGCTGGCCTTGCCAGGTCTTGTCTGGCAACAGTTACACTGATTAGCAGACACAGGACAGTGAATTACACATTATTACAAAGTAATATGAATTACAGAGTATTAATGTAGTTCAGTCTCCACCTACTGCAGGTTTGTCTTTGTCATGGATTATTTTTGTCTGATTTGTAAAGGACATGTTATTATTGTTATGTTGTTCCCATGGGAGGCCAGTATAAAAAATTTAAAAATAAATAAAATGTATGCACCCACTAACTGTAAGTCGCTCTGGATAAGAGCGTCTGCTAAATGACTAAAATGTAAATGTAAAACATTTATAATATTGTAAATATCAAGTGAGTTTGGAAGTATCCTCGGTTGTACATACAAAGTCACCATCACTCTTTCAGGGGTACTTTATGAATGGCCTTATGATTAAATTGGTGACATTTTGCGCCCAATGGCAGATTCCCAACATCACAGAGATCCAGCCGAACTACGGGCCTCGTGTTGGGGGAACTCTGATCACTGTGACTGGGCCTCACCTGGATGCTGGGAAGACCAGAAGGGTCACTCTGAACGGAGAGCCCTGCCCAATCACCAGGTGGGCAGATGCAGTTACTGGTTATGTCATTATGTCTCTCCTGTGATGGTTTCACCCAAAGCCTGTTTTCTCTAACCTGTACCTAAAATACCTGACTGTACACAAAAAAAGGGTTCCAAATTGTTATTTGGCTGTTCCCATAGGAGAATCCTTTTTGGTTCCAGGTAGAACCTTTTTTGGTTTCAGGTAGAACTCTTTTGGGTTCCATGTAGAACCCTCTGTGGAAAGCATTCTACACGGAAGCCAAAAGGGTTCTACCTGGAACCAAAAATGGTTCTTCAAAGGGTTCTCCTATGGGGACAGCTGAAAAACCATTTTAGGTTCTAGATGGCACCTTTTTTCTAAGAGTTTATGACATCATTCACTATCTACTATTTACCTGTGTGAGCCCCATGCTTATCCCAGCATTTGTTTGTACAGTAATGTCAGTATTAGAAACTGATTGCGATCTGACTGTGCTCGGACTACTTTAAAAAATACACCTTTCAATTACAGAGAGTGAATAAAAAAAACTAGTAGTTTTGATGACTAACTCACTGAGGAGGATATTATATTTATTTCAAATATACGACCGGTATATATTTTAAGTAGTATGTTGAACTTTTTAATGTGTCAAATGTGATTAACACAGAAAGCCACATGTAGAGTGAGGTGAACCTAAATCCTACAGTATAGCTTGTAGGAGTACTAACCCTGGACTTCCTCCCTACTCCACCTGTCTCCAGTGTCACAGCGCCCAGAGGGAACATGTCCTCCATCATCTGTCTGTCTCAGCCCATCTCAGAGGTGAGGGACGTCCCCCTCAGTGTGTTCATAGACAAGTCCCCCATCCTCACCACCAAGGTCTTCTACTACAAAGAGAACCCAGAGGTCACAGACGTCCTCCCAGACTGCAGTTTTGACAGGTAGGCCAAGCCAGTGAGGCTTCTTCAATATATGGAATGTGTCACCATCTCAACCAAAAGATGGGCTGCCGAGTGGCACAGCGGTCTAAGGCACTGCATCTCAGTGCTAGAGGCGTCACTACAGACCCTGGTTCGAATCCAGGCTGTATCACAATCCGGCCGTGATTGGCCCAGCGTCGTCCGGGTTTGGCCGGTGTAGGCAGTCATTGTAAATAGGAATTTGTTCTTAACTGACTTGCCTAGTTAAATAAAGGTTAAATAAAAAGTTAATAAAATAAATAAAAGACAAGGTGGATCAATCTAAGTCCTCCTGCTGGGTCTCTGTAGAATCTGCTAAAAATTATTCTCTCTTCACTCTCCATTATTTTTCTCTGTCGACTCCAGGGGGTCAAAGATAATCATTGAAGGGAAGAACTTGGACTCTGTATACAGGACCATCATCCGCTTTAGGCCCAAAGAGAGCCACCTGAAGCCTGTCACCAGAGTAAGATCTCGTTGTAAGATTATACAACCACATACTGTGTACATGATAGAGATATTTTTTTTTAGCTCTATGTATACATAATATAATCATATGCATACAGCTATTTTATAATTCCCTCCAGGAGTGCAAAGGCAAATCGTTGCCCACACGAATGGAGTGTATAACCCCTGCTTTCCCCCGGGAAGAGACAGAGGAAGGGGAGCTCTCCTTTGACATGGATGGAGCTGTTGGACTGTGGAATGGAGAGTTCTTCTACCACCCCTATGGCGAGCCCATACCCTTTGAAACTGAGGGCCATGTACTTAGGCTGTACCCTGGACAAGATGAAGTGTCACTACATGTAAGTGCAACGGTACCATAACAACAAAATGTTAATGGTGTCATGTCTATTTGACTGCCACTTACTATCAGAAGGAGTAAGAATATAGTTTTTATTGCTTGCATACTGTTTAAACCTTTTCAAGAAGAAAAACTCAGAAGTCTCTTTTTCTTCCCCCTCACAGCACCAGAAACTGAACCTTGTGAGTTCCTGCATGACAATCACTATGACAGTGGGAGGAGTAGATTGTGACGCGAAAGTTCTGGACAATGAAATTACCTGCAGGATCCCTAGAAACGTAACCATCAGTGAAGGACTGCCTGTGAAGGTAAGTTAGTAACTGGACACTATGTTGTCCATTGAACAGCTTTACATAGATTCAAGCCATAAACAACCTACTATTGGGCTCCACTTGGTTGTTTTCCCTAAATGTGTGGTGAAGTTACAGGAAAACAAGACCGTAATCTCTGGCAGCAGTCTTGGTCTGACCCACTGTCTCTCCTCCCCCAGATCTCCATCAATGGGCAGGTTCACAATGTTGGGGCAGTGGTCCTGGTCAGTAACCACTACATGGTGGGCATCGTACTGGGGATACTGGGGGCCCTGGTGGCAGGGGCCGTGCTGGCCTTTGTAGTCATGAAGCACCTGAGGAAGCAGAAGAAAGGTGGGTTTCCCTGTCTGGACTTTAATCAGGCCATCTTACAAAACCCCAATAACTGGTAATGGAACTGGTTTAAGTAGGACATCAACAGCCATGCACAGTGACAGTGGTAGCTAACATTGTCTTGTTGACTTTTGATGCGGTTCCCTACTCCTGTGGTTTATGATTGAAAACTCTTGTGACATTTCCAGCCTCTCAGGTGGAGACCCGTTTGGCCCATAACCACAACCGCTCCGGCAGCAATAGTGTGGAACTGTCACCTGTAGGGGACTACAGAAGAGGTGAGACTGTAATTGGCCAATATAACATTTCACATAGGGAATCTATCAGTCCATTTTGTTTCTTGTTCAATTTCTTTTCTTAGGTTTCAACAACAGTGGTTGAAATCTACATATACTGACATAAATGAATTATCTACACGTGCTGAAGGAACTCTACTGACCTTGCCCCTCCCCACTCTAGTAGTCTTGCCTCAGAGGCCAAGTTCGGCTCTGGGAAGCCCAGTGGTGTTCCCCAGCCCGGCCTACGCTGCAGGCAGCATGGACCCCACCCTCACCCCCCTCATGCCCCCTGAGAAGATCTCCATCTCCAGCTTTAGACCAGAGCTCCTGGAGGAGGTGAAGGATGTGCTGATCCCAGCAGACATGCTCATCGTCCAGCACCACCAGATCATTGGCAAGGGTCAGTCACATTACAGTGTGTATAGCACACAGAGAGTGCTTTTTAATTATTATTTTTTTGACAACAATCAAATGCACATATGCTACTACTCCCATACCGTCTCTAGTGATGTATAAGAGGGTGTTATTATAGCATATAAATCAAATTGCCGATTTTAAAGTTCATGGATCACAATAGGGATTTACACCCATGATGTGATATACTGTATGTCGTTGAATTTTGTTCTGATGATAATGTTCTCTTATCTCCCCCAGGTCATTTTGGCACAGTTTACCATGGCTACTTCACGGACCACAACAACAGAGAAATCCACTGTGCTGTCAAGTCATTGAACAGTGAGCACCTCCTTCCTGATTCACAATGTTCTAGAGCTGAACCAGGTGGACTGAGCATTAGTCACCTGTACATGTGACCAGCTGGGTAAACATGGAACAATCCTGCTCATATGCAGGGATAATTAAACATGTACACTAGGTTTAATGTGGTTTGTTTAGGGTTTTTAAGCTTTATCTGTAAGTGTTGACTGTTCATAAGCAGTTTTTACATTAATGTGTGTTTGTGTGTGTGTGTGTGCCCTGCATATGAGCATGCATTTGTGTGTGTGTGTGTGTGTGTGTGTGTCATGCGTGTGTGTGTGTGCCATATCAGGGATAACAGATGTAGAAGAGGTAGAGCAGTTTCTGAAGGAGGGTATCCTGATGAAGGGGTTCCATCACACCAACGTTCTCTCTCTGCTGGGCATCCTGTTGCCTCAGGAGGGGCTCCCCCTGGTGGTACTACCTTATATGAAGCACGGGGACCTCCGCCACTTCATACGCTGTGAGAAAAGGGTGAGGAAGACAGTGCCAAAACTGTAGCTACAATACTACCACCTCTTGGCTTCGATCAGCATACATACAAGGGATCCCCTTAACACCTCAGTGATATATCTCAAGGCTTATGTGACAGACATCATTATTGTGTGGTATTGATTCTTCCTATAGAACCCCACAGTGAAGGACCTGATTGGCTTTGGGCTTCAGGTTGCCAAGGGGATGGAGTACTTAGCACATATGAAGTTTGTGCACAGAGACCTCGCAGCACGCAACTGCATGTAAGTCAGGGTTGAGCAATCAGTTAATTTCTCTGTAACTGGGGCTAGTCGCCAATTTAAACTTTACGTTAGTCCTGACATAAGCAAACTGATTTTATTTTACTTAGCAATGCTACTGTACTATAGTTGCAGGCTTGCTTTCACAGATCACCAATCTGTGACCCTTATGTTTGCCCTTACTATTGTCTGTGCAGGCTGGATGAGTCGTACACAGTGAAGGTGGCAGACTTCGGCATGGCCAGGGATGTGTTTGATAAGGAGTACTACAGTGTTCAGGACCACAGGAAGGCCAAGCTACCAGTCAAGTGGATGGCCATCGAGAGCCTACAGACACAGAAATTCACTGCTAAGTCAGACGTAGTATGTGAAGGAATTACTTTCTGATAACATAATAAGAATTAGGCAGCATTTGTGGAATTAGGACTGACAATGTTGTTACTTGATTAATTACAGTGTTACTATTCAGAAATAACTTTATATTACCCCCAAATCCTTTCTCACCATGCTAAGTTTCCTATCATAACCTCCTATTACAGTGGTCATTTGGCGTGTTGATGTGGGAGATGTTAACCAGAGGAGCAAGCCCCTACCCAGAGGTGGACCCCTATGACATCACACATTACCTCCTGAAAGGCAGGAGACTCCCCCAACCACAGTTCTGTCCTGACCCTTTGTAAGTAGTGGTAATGATAGTCTAGTAACACTCCATTTTGTTGAAAATGCCTCATAGTAGAACTCAAAAGAGAAGCCCTTTTCAAAGTAAACAAATGATATGTCTATAGTAAATCTGGTTATACAGTAACGGAGATGCTTCAAAAAATCTGAAAGTTATGGATGAATATCCCACCTCTTCAGTTGCAACAAAGGAACAGGAAAGTATAGCCAGTAATTACAGGATGTTGGAAAGGTCAACCTGCAGTGTTAAACCTGTAAATGTCCACCACACACATATCCAAATATTGTTAAGCAATGTTGTCTAGGAGTTAATGATCATCACTATGCTTCACTTCAAAGATATCCTCATACGCACACACATGCACGTGCAGGCGTACATGCACACACACACACACACAAACACAAACACACAACATTCACTGGAGTGAGATTACATCTGAACGTCAACATGTTTTTCCCTGTGTCCTCATCCCATTATCAATGATAAATCCTACAGTCTAATCTAATGTGTCCCCTCTCCCAGTGACAAATAGGAAGTGTTGAAATACAGATTAACAATTGAGAAAACAACAGTAGAGAAGGAGAACAAAACATAATGGCTGACTTTTCTGTGTGGGGAAAAAACACATCAAAATGTAAAAGCCATAAATCACCTCCATATCGCTTTTGCTTAATCATTTCGGTCCGTAAGTTGAAATAAGTACATAGCCTGCACAATACTGTTTTATTTCAGTTAAGCATTTTGTATTCTATTGTTAGAAGAAAGCACCATACTAAGTGCTATATGTAACTTTCCAGGTATGCCATCATGCTGCAGTGCTGGGACCCAGACCCAGAGATGAGGCCCAGCTTCGCCACGCTGGTGTCTGCTGTCCTGACCATCCTGTCTGGCCTTGAGGGGGAGCACTACATCAGCCTCAAGGTCACCTACGTCAATCTGGACCAACCACGCCCCTACCCCGCCCTCACCGAGTCCGCAGACGAGTGTGATTCTTCAGACACTGAAGACACACGCTCAGTGTCCTCCTGATGTCACATCAGGAAAGGTGCATGTAGTATGGCTTGGTGCTATGAGCACAAGGAGCTCAGTTAGAAGGTCAAACTAAAGGTTGTCGGTTATCCTGGAGAAAATGACTTTTCTTTTACTACCTAGTGTCGAGAGGAGGCAGTTGCAATGCACAAAGTGTAAGGGACTTGAACGTTCCTCCCCCACTCACATTATAGTATATTACCTGGCAAAGCTTTTTGTAAATAAGAACGGATGTAATGTCTATATGTTTTCTCTGAATTTTCTTGAGATGTAGTAATTATACTGTATATTTTGGATCATACTTTTATCAAACAAAATGTACCCTAATGTTTTATCAGTGATCTGTCATTATTCTGTTACTTTTATTTCATGCACAATGTGTTTTAGATAGTGTAATAAATTAACATATTTATTTGTTTATAGACTCTTGTTCTTGAGATTTTAGTAAAATTTACATTTACATTTTAGTCATTTAGCAGACGCTCTTATCCAGAGCGACTTACAGTTAGTGCATACATTATTTATTAATTTTTTCATACTGACCCCCCGTGGGAATCGAACCCACAACCCTGGCGTTGCAAACGCCATGCTCTACCAACTGAGCTACATCCCTGCCGGCCATTCCCTCCCCTACCCTGGACAACGCTGGGCCAATTGTGCGCCGCCCCATGGGTCTCCCGGTCGCGGCCGGCTACGACAGAGCCTGGTTTCGAACCAGGATCTCTAGTGGCACAGCTGGCGCTGCGATGCAGTGCCTTAGACCAGTGGCGCATTTATGTAAAAATCCAATATCTTATCGCGCATTTATGTAAAAATCCAATATGATAAGATATTCATTTATGTAATTAAAGTTTTAACATTTTCTACATTAGCTTCTTCACATGTGGTGGTTTCACCCATTGTCACTGTACACTTACAGTAGATCAGAGACAACTGAGACTCGTGTAAACCATCACTGGTAAACCCTCATGAGTTAGAATATGCAGTTGGAATATGCAAAAAACACATTTCCAATTCACACACGTACACTTGTGTATGTATATGCATGTGTGAATTGGAAATATAAGCACACACCAAATTATATATGTATTTTAAAGAGTCCATCAGGATATTATTACTGTTATTGAGAAAGGCTTCCACTAGAGGCCAGTGTTCTACTAGATTTGTAGAACGCTGGAGAAATATGGAGAAAACCCAGCACTTCTTTAATATGTGAATCACATTGTATGAACACCATAAAGTAAAAGAGACATAGCTCACTGAACATGTAGTAATGGTGTACATACCATATGGATAACATCCTTTCCTTACTCTTAAATTGCATATCTATCTGTCTTTATGACTGCACACAGTGGTCATTAGCTAATGAGACTTTGTTGTTGTAATGAATTAATGGGAAGAACAACCATAAAACACCCATCCAAAGATGAGCTGGATTTCTGCGGAAAGTAGCAACACAGTTGAAAAAGTCACACAACAGTCCCACTTCTTGCACACAAAATGAATCCAAGACAAATAAAACGAGGGAAATAAACATCATAAAGTAAATTTTTCCCCCCAAGCTACATAAGAACAAAAGTGAATTCCCGGATGGGAATTTCTAAGACAAGCGCACTTTGTCAAAAATGTGCCTAGGTGTCGGGGAGGGTAACACCCCGCAGGGCAGAACCCTGGGTTTTACAGTAGAAGGAGGAGATGAAGAAACTCTCTCTCCACCACACTGCCTGTCTGTGTGCTAATGCTGCTGCCACTGTGAAACCTGGCTTCATCACACCCAACTCAACCTGCATGCCTCTCCTTTTCCTCTTTATCTGACTGAGAACTTCTGTCGGTTCAACGTTGGGTCTCATATCATACAGTGATTCTTCTCTCCATGTGCAGGCAATACACATTCAATACATATTTATACAAGTGCATTCTCATCTGAAACTATAGTATATATAAAGTACAGTATCTATAATGATTCAACAAATTATTTTCTCTAGGATTTCATTAAATTATGTTCTGTTAGCTCTTAGCTAGCTACAGTATACATGTAGAGAATGTATTTGACTGTTTGTTAACTTTCAAAAGATATAGTATCACGCACTGCAGTATGATTATAGCATAAGCTAAATCTTAAAACCAAGGCCTGCCAGATGGTGAAGCGTGATTCATCACTCCAGAGAATGCGTTACCACTGCTCCAGAGTCCAATGGCGGCGAGCTTCACACCTCTCCAGCTGACGCTTGGCATTGAGCATGGTGATCTTAGGCTTGTGTGCGGCTGCTCGGCCATGGAAACCGATTTCATGAAGGTCCCGAAGAACAGTTATTGTGCTGACGTTGCTTCCAGAGGCAGTTTGGAACTCTGTAGTGAGTGTTGCAACCGAGGTCAGACGATTTTTACGCACTTCTACACTCGGCGGTCTCATTTTGTGAGCTTGTGTGGCCTACCACTTTGTGGCTGAGCCTCCTAGATGTTTCCACTTCACAATAACAGCACTTACAGTTGACCGGGGCAGCTCTAGCAGGGCAGACATTTGACGAACTGA